GAGTTAAGTACATAATAAATGACTCAAAGTATAGCGATAAGGAACTGTTTTAAAAGATAACATTATATTTTATTACCATTGTTATAATAGGTTCTATCCAAAGGTCCAATCACTTTTTTATTTGTTACAGGTTTAAGAGCATCAAAGGTGTTAGTACTATCAAACATTTCTTTGTTTCTAAGAAGGTTCAAGGTGTCACCATCTGCAAAGACTAAACCAGTACTGAAGTTAGATCCAAAGAGGCTACTCGCTAGTGTACCGTTAGGTGGAATTTGGATAAAAATAGAACAAAGGAATTAATAAAAACCAAGCTGTAAAGACTGTAGATTTAGATTAAAAGCATAGCATAGACATAATAACGTTATAATCCGTTTTGAATTTGGAAGAGTGAAAGTAAAATAAGTACTGTTAGTTAATAAATATGTTTTAATTAAACACAGACATGCTTATTTAATAATATTGATTCCTATTATTTTGTAAGTAGAGTAAGTACTTTTGCGGGTGTCTCAAAAGGTCTATAGTTGGAAGACATTTTGTCAAAAAATTGTAAACCAACTGTACACACTATAGATCCAATAAAGTGATTTGATCTGATATTTAAATTTAATATTTGGTCCAATCATTTCTTCTACTTCCTGCCCTTACATGGGGTGGTAGTTGGGATGCGTAATTATTAAAATCGTGAATATATTAGACATAACCAGTACCAGTGCATATTCATAGGTAGGTAAACGTGGTGGACTGTCACCATCAACATTAGGACATCACAGATGGGGCCCAATAGGGCTGATGTCGATAAGGAGCCGCGAAGGACTTAACGGGTTGCCGGAGCTTCGGGTCGAAGTGCAGAAGTAGGAACGGGGTGGTTTTTAGTTAGTCACCCGGGCGAGAGAAGTCATTGGATGATTTTTCCCCCTCAACAAAAAAGGGGGGTCTGGCAATTCAACAGTTAATGACGAGTTAGTAAACCCTCGTGAAGACTAGGAGCTGTGTAGGCATACACACTAATACTACAAGGAATGGAACAAAATTAAATATGTACAATTTAAGCTACAATACACTAAAACTAATAGAGAAAATACCCTGAAGGCTGGCAGCAATACAATGTACCATATATTCTACTCTATCGTTAGCACGTGGCTAATTCTGTTGCTGCCATATAATGTATTATGTTGTTGCTGCCATATAATGTATTATATGGCAGCAACAGAATAGGCTCCCTACAGAATAGGAGCCTTATTGTCCACTACTTGGTACAATTTAAAATTACCTACACACTATTCTACCTACTGAAAATGTTGAAATCGAAAGTCCCAGTATCCTAATACCTCCAATATTTTGCCGTAACCAGGAATCAATCCAGGCCACCCCAGTCGATAGTCGTGCTTCCAATCACTTGAGTAAGTGAGTCAATATTCTTGATTAATGAATAAATACCTTTAGATAATATTTAAGTGGTTTTATTGCACGTGGCTCTACATTGCACGAACACGAAATGTCGTGACATAAATATAAAACTATAACATAACATCACGCCTTTTATCTCCGAAGGGATAGGCAAAGGTGCACATTACGGCACTTGATGCCACTGTACAATGTAACACCCACTTTTCACTTTTTATGTTATGAGGCCCATATAATAGAGGGTGAGCCTATTGCGATATGCCGGGCACAATTTCAGACTCCGTGTTAGGAATTGAACTCGAGATCTCTTGCCCAGCAGTCGCACTTGCGAAAGCAATAAACTCAAATATACATAACTAATAAACCTTTAAACTTATATTCAAGAAAAGAGCATATGCCTTTTTAAAAGGCCGGCAACGCACCTGTGACTCCTCTGGTGTTGCGGGTGTCCATGGGCGGCGCTGATCGCTTACCATCAGTTGATCCGCCTGCTCGTTTGCTTCTTATACCCTAAAAAGTACCTATGCATAATAACTAAGAAGTCGTGATAACAAAGTAGAATATATTTTAACTCCCTTTTTCTAACAATGGATGTCGTAAGAGCCAACTATAAGGGACTACATTAACAGTAAGCAAGCAACCATGGTCTCTTATAAATCAGAACTTTTTAATTGCGATCTCAGAACCATCTGTCGGCAGTCTCATGATAGTTCACTACTCACTAAGTGGTCACTGCTGACCAAAGACCTCTTCTCATACGGAGAAGGTTTGAGCATTAATCGTCACGCTTGCTGTTTCAATTATTAGGTGTTTAAATTGTTATGTTGGCGATTTCAAGCTTAAAATTAGAAATTATAAGCACAGGTTTCCTCACAATATTGTCCTTCACCGTTTATCAGAAATAATCTTAGTAACTTGGAAAAAGTTGCATGCATGGGAAGCGGGTATCTTAACCTCCGAGCGACAACATATAATTATGTCAACAAACCACTCACAAATACCAAATCCGATACAAATTACAATAACTACATCAAAGATTACTTATATACAGCATTAGGAAAACATAAGGAAACTTGATTATCTTGACACTAGCACTTTTCTATTAAGTAGGTACATACGAGAGGGAACTTTCCAAAGACTTTACTTCAAGAAGCGAAGAATCAATTAAAACTACTAGTAAAGTTCTAAGGCTTCCTCACTCGACTGTGCCCCTGGTACCCGTGTACCCAAAAACTTCTCTCTAGTTTAATACGAATTGTATTTTGCTTTTCCTTCCGTCAGTTAATTAGGAACTAGGGAATTGTTTTCGATGTGTAGAGGCTTTTGTTTTGTTTGACATGGAAGGTTTGTTGAAACGTAATTAAAAGATGCATTTAAAGCATTATTTTTCTATCATTTTGCTATCCAATTAGCAATGTAATGTAATGTTCTTATTTAGTTATTTATTCGCTGTTCGCTTACCACCAGGTGATCCGTCTGCTCGTTTGCCTCCATATCCAAAAAAAATACTTAGGTAGGTAAAAACAAAAAAAAAATTTTTCAAATTGGTTAAGTAGCATCTATTAGAATGGTAAGCCCAAAAAGAAAAACTGAATTACTAACAATCTATACATGTTTTATTTTACACACAAGAGAACAAACAAGAAAATAAGTAACGTAAAAATTTACGTATCTAAAATTACGACTGTAGTAGTAGTAAATAGTTTGCTGTGCTCGTGAATTATTGGTTTTTATATGGCCAGGTGCACGGCATTTTAAAACCTTGATTTTCTACCAGTTCCACCCATCTCCAAAACCCAAGAAATTCACAAATTCCTAGGAACCTACCTTACTTTACCTATTCCTAGGAACTTAATTCTTAAACTCTTCTTAAACTCCAAAAAGCCTACCAACCAAACAACAGAAAAATAAACCTTTTTCATTCCACATAACAAATTACAAACCGTAGAATAATTTATCGAATATGAATGATTTAGCAACCGCACCCTCAAAGTGATCGCAGATGAAATTGAATATCAATTAAATATCTTTCATCTAGTAATGAATATCGCAAACTTGATACAGCTAATGATATTCATAATAATGCAGGGATGTATTCAAAAGGGTTGCAGTATCTACACTTGTTTCCAAAGATCTTAGTGATAAGGGCTTTTTGTACCCTTATGTTAATTTTTTAGGAGTTTTTAGTTGGTTGGTTGTTAAATACTACTGCCGGGCAAGAGGTCCTGGGTTCAATTCCCAAATCGGACAAAGTATTACTGAGATTTAAAAAAAAACTCAGTAGTAGCACGGAGTCTGAAACTGTGTCCGGTATATGTACATGGGATTCATTACATAAATACCGCAAAGTGGGTGTTACATTGAAGTGGCATTATGTGCCACTTCTGCACTGTGTGCATCTCTGCCTACCCCTCCGGAGATAAAAGGCGTGAACGCTGTTTGTGGTCTGTGCTACAAACAGCGTTTTACATAAAACTATTATTAGTGCTGATAAAACTGCTTAGTTGTGTTTATCGAATGGTCTCTGTCAGTACTACCTACGAAAAGTTTCTTTCAGGCTTCTTTTCTCGAGTCCCTGAAAAATACATACCAGTACCATATCATACCATCACTCAGTGGATAGTCGGTGTTGGACTGATATTGACAATATAGATCTATTCATACATTTATTATAAGTAGATAGATAAATGTCTAATAATAAATAAATATGTCTATTTCAGGAACAAAATTAATGATTAAAATAAGAGTCGGGTAGTGTATAGGGAAATAGTGTAAATGTAGGTCAAGACAGAAACTGATTGTGTTGTAGTTTAAATAAAACGCAATAAATATGTTCTTTATTATGCCTAGGAACTATCAAAAATGTACGAAAACGAATGAATCGGTAACAAAGCGTTACACTTCTTACAGACAATAATTTGTAACATAAACGTTCTTCGGTGTACATAATTGTTTCACAATATATGCTGAAACAAAGACACGTCGCGAGTTCACAAGTTGCAAGCTCGCAATACAGGCGTATCTATGTAAGGACATAATTGTGTTTAACATTTAACAAAGATTTGTCATCGCGTGCATGGCTCCAGCCGCCATGCGCCAGCAGCACCTACAGTACTGTCATACAGACACAATCACCGACACAAAGCACTCGCTCCATTAAAAGCATCCACCCTTCTCTGTTTCACGTTTTACCTCAAGAACTTCCATACATGATTTTGCGTTTTGTGAAACAAAACATAGTGCAATGCATAAACTTTAAACGCAAGATCGACGAGGAGCCGTGGGGACAATAAAACAAAGAAAAGCGTATCTGGCCCGGAGCAGTGCGCGGCGAGGGACGGCCGCCCGGCGCCGCCAGCCAATCGCAGCGCGCGCTGCAGCCGCCCCATCGGCCCGCCCCGGCCGGCCCGCGCTCTCCGCCGCGGATGAATGAGACGCAGCATCCCTATAAAGATTTTACATCGATTATGGGGGTATGGGAGCAGGCCGTTTCTGTCTCGCCCGTGGGCGGCGACGTGAGTTCCTCTCGCGCAGTCGCGAACAATTAACGCGCGGGGCGGCATGGTCGGTGCGGCGCGACGTGCGACGTCACTATAATGTGGTTAGTCAGTGAGCGTCGGGGCCGAGCCGACGGCGACGGCGACGGCACGGAGCACGAGCACAGGAGCGCGGGAGAGCCGCGCTGGTCGCTCAGCCAGCGCGCCGGCCACAGCACGGTGGAGTTCAAGAGCACGGCGTGCGCGGGGGCCACCGAGCCGCCCGCGCCGCCACTTGCCGCGCTGCCGGACCCGCAGCAGTTCAACATATTCCCGGCCTTCTTCAGCCGCCAGCTCAACTTCAGCGGCGGCGGTGGATGCGGCCAAGGTTCCAAAATAATGGAAGAGTTGCGACCGAATCTTGTTGGTGGGCTGCTGGGCGTGCCAGGGTTACTGGACGAGCACCAGCAAGACGCCAAATTCCTGCCAACGGGAGGTGAGAGCAAGTACACGCCAGGCAAGGGCTCATCATCTGCGGAGGAGTTCGGCGGGCTGTACGGCGGGGAGCACGCTGCTACGCCGCCTGCACCACCACTTAGCCGGTCCTTGCAAGATAACACAGGTACGTTACTCTTACGTAGGTATGAAATATCATTTTTATTTGCCTTGGGTAGCCTCTTTGGGTAGCACCTATTATATACAGTATTTACCTAAATATCATAATATAGTTCAAAATAAATAAGAAAAAGATTCCTTAATATTTTCTTATTATTATATTATTTACTTTGTTTCTTTATATTATATATTAATTATATTAATTACTATTGAGTGGTGACAATAGGTCTACAACAGGATCACAATAATCGCGTTAAAAGTGATGTTTTCAGACATGTTTAGGTAATTTATAACTTGATATCAAGTTTGTTTACTATTACTTGACTAGGCATTAATGCACTCGAATACTCTAATTATATCTTCCACCTAGTCAACCTACTATTAAACAAGAAATAAAGACTGGGTCTTCGTATAATGCAACTAATTGTTTTCCCTACACGAGCAACCTAGGAACCCTGTACCCTTATATAAAAGAGCATTTCCAAATTATATACTCTTGAAAAGATACCGATGAAAAGTACTCTTGCTACGGAAGTCAGAAATTGTAACCAAAAACTAGATCCTTGCAGATGGTACTTTAAACCAAGAAACAGGATATGTCACATTTTTTTTTATTTCTAGCAACAATAAGTATTTAAGGTTTTAACACATAGGCAACACAACGTGACCATAGTGTGAATTTCTATAGAAGCGCAAATACATAATAGTATGTGTAAGATACTTATTGGATTTCCACAAGTGTCAAAACAAAAGTTATGCCATTCACCAACCTCATCTTTTTTCTATCTTCCACTGAACATAAGCCTCACTACTAGCAGGCAACTGAGCTAGATCATTCAACTGAAGGAAAAGATGGACCACTGAGTTTGTTTCGGCATTTCTTCTCAGAGTAGACAGTTAGGAAATGTCGGACTGATCGTTCGCTTGAAAAATTGACGTGCCCATTCGCAGGAATAAATTAACTTGTTTCTCTCTTCGTAGTCAACCACTATCAGTCCCATTGCAGATTGTCACTTTACCTAGCAACAATTGGCTAGTTTCCTGGGTCAAAAATAAATTATTTCGACTGTTCAATACAATAAAATATTAAAACATAATCACATTTTCATTAATTGATTTTATGACTAACTTAATTTTAGTATTTTTTAAGAAATATGTATTCTGTTATATGTTAAAAAAACGTGACATCACTATACACAACTCGTACAAAATTCATAGAAAACTGTCGTTTTTGACAGTTCGAAAAAAAGTATTGAATTTGACTAGTTGGCAAGTACCCAATTACATCGTGGCGTAAACTAGGATAATTATACAAGTTGTTGTATTTATTGTATTATGCCTTGTTAACAACCTGTGGGCTCTTGATTGTATATTTAATAAATGGTGCATCCGTCTATACTTACCTTACCTATAGGCCTGAATAAAAAAAACTACACATTTTTACGTTTATTTAAATACAACAGCTGTTCCCCGCCGACTTCGTCCGCGTAGAATATGTCTCCTGTTTTATCCCATGGGATTATTTAATCGGGATAAAACGTATCCTATCACCTAAGTCGGTCCATACCCGGCCTGTATACAAAATATCATGAAAATTCATTGAGTAGTTTCAGCGTCATTGACGGACAAACATCCAAACAAAGGAACTTTCATATTTATAATATTAGTGTGATTGTGCCATTTCTGTCATTTTACAAAAAACATGTAGATAAAAAATTGTTCATACAAAAGTAGTCTCTAAACATCGGAAATAAGGTCTATAATGTAGTTAATGGAGAGTGGTCACCGGTGAGCGCTTGGGGATATATGGGTTGCCCGACTTAAAACTGAGTGCCGGTTATTTGGATATATGTCACTTACAAGATTCATAAGAAGACTGACTAATGCACTTTGTACTGAAAGGTAACACAAAATAAATAAGTAAAATATTAACAAACAAAACGCAATGACAGTGAAGAAACGAATCAAGCAAATAAAACTTTAGTTAAGTACTTTTAAAAGTTACTTTGATAAATGAGAAATTCATTTTAAATCAACCAATGACCATGTGAACTAAAATCTAAAAGTGTTTCATTATTCAGCTCATATTCTTACAGTGAAGAGATCAAATCAGTCAAAAAATCTCTTGAACTACCGGCCATTAAATTCCAATAAAAATATTAGTATTATTTTCCATTATCCACACAAATATTGCTCAAAAAGAACACAATGGAAAACAGAAATTGTATCGATTCTTACAATTTTAACACAATATTTATCAGATTTGAGAAACCTTACCATACCTTACCTTATGGTATTATATATAATTATTTGTAAATATTATGGTCCAGTATTAAATTAAATACGTCATAAATATAATTCTTATCTTTCGATGCATGATTAAACGCCTCACAAAATAAGGCTCAGTAGAAACTGAGCCTTATTTCCTGTTACTACCACTGAGCCTATGAAGGTTTCTACCTTCTAGTTACTACTTCATAGTTAGAACTTCATAGTTCTACATTACATACTTATATACATTACATAACATATGGCTTTTATCCCCGAAGGGGTAGGCAGAAATACGCATTAATGCCACTGTACAATGTAGCACCCACTTTTCACTATACGATACGATAGAAAAGCTTAAGCTTTTAAATATAATGCCTAGTTAGTTACACATCGACATAAAAGATATACGAGAATCAGGCAAGCGGCAGTTACTGCACTACAGATTGACTTATGTCGACTGAAACCTTACTGTCGAGAGTGTGGGCTGAATCTCAATCCCTGAAAACGTTCGGTGGTAACATATTCCCGAAAGCGCACCAATAGTTTCGTCATATACCTTGGTTGATCAAACACTTCCTAGATCAAATAACATCCGAAATCTTGAACCAAAACCAGCAACATCTACGAAACTGAATGCTATGATAAACACTTAAAATGAAGTTCTTTGTTAGAAGTCTGAACAATATGATTTAAGTAATATCTTTAACACTAGCCACGAATGGAAACATATTGCTGGGAAATATTAGCAATAGCAGGCTGAGTAGAAAATGTAATATTTCTATGGACCTCTTCTACCGACTGTTGTAAGAGCCATTAAAGGACGAATATAATACAGATCAGCCCCATTCTCTGATTAATCAGAGATCACAATTTAAAAAGTAAGCTTTACCTCACATGCAGCGTGCAAATGTGGCAGAAACCTAACTAAACGACTTAATATAACCAGGCAATATATCTCTCTGATAAACCTAAACCTTTTGAATTGCGACATCCAACTACATGCTAGGAGTAAAAATTATGGCAAATACCTACCTACGATATAGTAGAGACCCATCATCCAGGATACTTTTACACTGGAAGATACTCCAGCATTGGACTGTTATCCCTGTCAGTGCTTTTGTTAAAATCCCTATAATTTAATATCATTTTGTTCATGAGCCACGGTAACCACTTGGTATCAGGTGGGCTGTGTGCTTTATTGGCCACCGTCGTGGTAAAAAGAAATTCAGGAGTGTTGAAGATCGTTGTTTAAAAGTCGATTTACACTAAAGTACCAGTTACAGCAACGTTCGTCTTTGGTCCAGTAAAATTACTTACCTTATGACAAACAATAAGGGCTAAAACTACCCTTTAAGTCAACTTTTGGTTCAATACAACATTATATGAAATAGTCGACCACGCCGACATCGGACGGAAAACAAACTGTAAATGGCACTTTAGTGTGAAATCAGTCTGAAAGATTCACTTTAAATTACACACGAAGCGCTTCGCATCAAGCTTCCTTGTGGAGTGGTAAGAAATAAAATATAGACTCTTGGCCAGAGTCTATATTTCCTGAGAGGTACCTGGGTGGTATCAAGGCCGGATTGAATAGGTTGCTTATGGGACGACGTGCTCCATCGTAGATCGCATCATCGTTTACCACCAGGCGAAATAGTGGGCAAACGTCAAAAAAAAAGATCAGAGGTCTCTACCCAGACCATGTTAAACGTGCAGTTCAGTTTCTTAGTCAACGCAGAGTGCAATACTCGTACATTGGTATCTACGAATATTGTATTCTGCCACACCGGTTAATAACCTGAAATCTCTGAAGTATTGTATTGAGGCGAGTACTTGTATTTAGCGTTTAGAAAATATCCTTACAATTTATATGATCCTCTATGTAGGCAGGATGCTGTATATTGCAACGTTTACGTTAAATTATGCTTATAGAGCCTGCTCTATCTGACACATTAAATTTTATTAGGTGCATTGCTGAAGACAAAATGAGCATGGGTTTAACTTAAAAATAATATATACATGTTAGTCAAAAGCATTAATTTCAGCGCCTACTTTATCTACCTACATAAATTATAAAATGAATAAATAAAAACAGATCTAACATCAACTTAAGTTCACAACTTGTGCCATGTTAATAAGGTCTCATCTAAAGTCCTAGTTTTTATTTGCTATTTTTTCCAAAAGCTTTTTGCAAAATGAAATACGGCTATTGTCGTTTTTGTACATATATTCATATTATTAAAACAACAATATTCGCTAAAGGTAGTAGCGAGCACGTAGGCATCCTCTACGCGGGATATGTGCGTATAATTACAATTCCAATTAGAGTAATATTGCAAACAATCGGCCCGCGGGTGACGTCATGAATACGAAATGTCACTAACGACCGTCCCCTGCCCCGCCCGCCCCCACCCCGTCACCCGCCGCGCCCCCGCCGCGAGCGAAGCCTGAATTTTCAAGCGGCTCGAGTTGCCGAGTTGAATATACGCTCTGCACGTTTAATGTACGCTGAATAATAATAATTGTAACATTGACGAAAATGTGTGGCGGTAACGTTCTATAGGAAATGATTGCTTAAACTTTGTTTCATGTTGGGTAAATTAAGCTATTTTAATAAACGACTTCATTCACCTCAATGTGAAACTGCTCCAGTGATCCACATTTGAATTCATTTAGATAGTTCTACATTTATGGGAATTTACTTTTCTATGACTGAAGACACGTATTTAACACAATCACGTTCAAATAATACCATAAGCTTTTCTTTGTCATGCCCTACCTAATACATATCAAATAAATAAACATTGATAAATATTATGATATAAGACTGCGACTCACTAACCGGACGTATGTATCTAATTTGGGGTTTCTTTCGCAGTAAACTAACTAGTATAGAAACATTAGAAATGCAAAACTTACATTAAGCCATCCGGATAGATAAACAAGGAAATGATCAATAAGATAAAAATAATGAATCAAGAAATGACTAAATCATTTAAATTAACAGTACTAATTTAAACACAGACCATCAAAATGAGATCGATACGGATAATATTACAGCACAAACTTAATTTAATGACGCCGAAACATAATGAATTGACTAAATATATTAATGAAGCTATTCAATTCATGTAGGAATAATATCTAATGTTGACAGTAATTATAATTATGCATCCATATAATTATGAACTGCAAATTACAAAACTTGCTGTCTGTTTTCCACGGTACGTAGTATTATTCTAGGGCTCAACACAAAACTGCGATGCGATAGCAAATATGTGCGAGCTCCCTCTACGCATCGCGCGTCAATCGTCGCAAAGTCTAATCTCCCCAAAATCTTCTTTGTTTATTTTTCCTGTATCTCCTTAGCAATAACAGAAGTGCACACTTTTTTTACGATTCATGTCACGACCTAGTTTTCAATTTAAAATACGTTTAGTACGGTTGACGGTCGTCGAAGGAATGGTTACCCTGGGAGACGCCTTGTCGCACGAAATCGCATCGCAGCAATTCGCATCGTAATTTTTTGCGTTGCGAATTCGTATCGTATCGCATCGCACTTTTGTGTACGATCCGTACCTGGAACTGCGGGTAACCTAGCGGATAACTGGGGCTGCGGTTCGAAGTAGGAGCAGAAATGGGATTGTTTTAGTCAGTAAGAGTCTGTCTCGCCTCGCTCAAGTGGGAGAAATCATTGGATGATTCCCCCCAGTAAAAAGGCAGTGTTAATTTGTTTGACAAACTTTGTACCGCCTAAACAATTTTTTTTACTTTTAACCTTCCCTGGACTTCGACGAAGATTTCAACGAGCAAACTTAGCCAACTTGATTCAGACGTTGTCGAGTTTTATGGAGACTAACGAACGGAAAATCATTTTTATTTATATTGAATAGATGACGGACGCCATCTTTTTCAAATATGTAAGCATTTAGAAACCATTCCGTAACCCACAATGTCGTGACCGCTGTTTGCTTGAAAATAATCACTAAACGGTTTCGTTTTATTATTTTCGTATTAATTTATCACGTAAGGTATCACGATTTGATATTTGAAGTGAGCTTGAAATAAGAATTAGTTGAACAATAATTTACAGATACATCATTTTACTTGTAATTCCAAATACCAAAACACACAGCACCGTTCCCAAAATAGAGCATAGATCAATAAATGTGACAGGATATGTAAAAATAAATATATTTATTTATCCAAATAATCTAAACTTTAACTTTTAATGTTATATTTTATTCGATATAATAGTAAATTGTTTCTTTAATCTATTATTAGTGCTGCTCAAATCGTTATCGGGCTAAACAACTTGTGCTTAAAGTTAGATCTTTTTTTTAATCGTTTTGTCGTAACTACTTTTTTAGGAATGAAACTGGTTTCAGTAGACATTTTCAAAAATTCTTCTGGCTCCAGTAGATCAATTATTTCTTGAATACCGTAAGGTTTTTTTGTGGACCTCGTTGTCGCCGCTTCTGTTGGTTCGTTGTATTCACTATTTTCAGTGATATCATTCCCATGTCCATCTTTTCCTAATTTTTCTAGTTTTAAATTAGCTTTATATTGGTTTAATTTTCTTAGCTCGTCTAATAATTTGACAGCTTGAGGGAATTTTTGAGCTATGATTTCATCATATTCTGAATCATCTGATTCTGTAGTAGATTTAGGTGAGGTTTCATCAGAAACCCCTGAGGCATCAACCTCCGGCCACTCATCATATGATCTGTCGACTGCATAATCTGCATCCTCACCAGGTAAATTGTCTGAACTATCGGAAGGTATGTCTGGAGTCAAAGGCTCATATGGTATTTTGGAATTGTATAAATCATCAATTTTTTTTATGTGAAATGGATCTTCAGGGAGTATTTTAGGATAGCTAAAACTGTTATGGGGTAAATTTGAATGTATTCGTGAATTACCATTTCCGATAATAGAAAATTTGGAGGTAGTTGTAGTAGTAGCAGTTACTTTTGAATAAGTTGGTCTATACGAAAGTTTTCTGGAATCACTGAAATAAATTTTGTCTGAATGGGATTTTGGATTATTTTGACCTTTAAGCGGTTTCTTTGCTTCCTTACACGGTTCTTTCTTTGGTGGGCATGGTGGTGGTTTATGATCCTTACATGGATCCTTTGGTGGTTCTGGTTTTGGACATGGACCACAAGGTTCCTTTGGAGGTGGCTTGCAAGGATCACAAGGTTCCTTTGGAGGTGGTTTGCAAGGATTACAAGGATCTTTTGGTGGTTCTGGTTTTGGGCATGGATCACAAGGTTCCTTTGGAGGTGGTTTGCAAGGATTACAAGGATCTTTTGGTGGTTCTGGTTTTGGGCATGGATCACAAGGTTCCTTTGGAGGTGGCTTGCAAGGATTACAAGGATCTTTTGGTGTTCTGGTTTCGGACATGGATCACAAGGTTCCTTTGGAGGTGGTTTGCAAGGATTACAAGGATCTTTTGGTGGTTCTGGTTTTGGGCATGGATCACAAGGTTCCTTTGGAGGTGGCTTGCAAGGATTACAAGGATCTTTTGGTGGTTCTGGTTTTGGACATGGATCACAAGGTTCCTTTGGCTTGCAAGGATTACAAGGATCTTTTGGTGGTTCTGGTTTTGGGCATGGATCACAAGGTTCCTTTGGAGGTGGTTTGCAAGGATTACAAGGATCTTTTGGTGGTTCTGGTTTTGGACATGGATCACAAGGTTCCTTTGGAGGTGGTTTACAAGGATCACAAGGTTCCTTTGGCTTGCAAGGATCACAAGGATCTTTTGGTGGTTCTGGTTTTGGACATGGATCACAAGGTTCCTTTGAAGGTGGTTTACAAGGATCACAAGGTTCCTTTGGCTTGCAAGGATCACAAGGATTCTTTGGTGGTTCTGGTTTCGGACATGGATCACAAGGTTCCTTTGGAGGTGGTTTACAAGGATCCTTCGGTGGTTCTGGTTTTGGACATGGCTTACATGGTTCCTTTGGAGGTGGCTTGCAGGGATCCTTTGGTGGTTCTGGTTTCGGACATGGAGTATGCTCACCTTGTTCTTTACATTGGTTACAAAGATTGTTTAGTGGGTCTGGATGTATACATAGATTACAAGGTTCTTTTGGAGGCGGTTTGCATGGTTCTTTTGGTGGTTCTGGTTTTGGACATGGAGTACAGGGTTCCTTTGGAGGTGGCTTGCAAGGGTCCTTTGGTGGTTCTGGTTGTGGACATGGCTTACAGGGTTCCTTGGGAGGTGGCTTGCAAGGCTCTTTTGGTGGTTCTGGTTGTGGACATGGCTTACAGGGTTCTTTTTCCTTGGGTGGTGGCTTGCAAGGATCTTTTGGTGGTTCTGGTTGTGGGCAAGGCTTACAAGGTTCTTTGGGAGGTGGCTTGCAAGGGTCTTTTGGTGGTTCTGGTGGTGGACATGGCTTACACGGTTCCTTTGGTGGTGGTTTACAAGGATTACAAGGTTTCTTTGGTGGTTTACATTCATTTTGATCCTTCGGTGGTGCTTCTTTAAACGGATCTTTTGGCTCCTGATCCTTACATGAATCTTTCGGTGGTTCCTCTTTGCATGGATCCTTTGGTGGCTCTTGATCCTTACATGGTTCCTTTGGTGGCTCCTGATCTTTCGATGGTGAGTCTTTAGATTGATCTTTTGCACATTTTGACTTTCCTTTGGGCTTTTTTGTTGTTTTCTTCTTAAATGGGTTTCCATAAATAATGTGAGTTTTAATGGCATCGTCGTAAGGCCTTGGATAATTCGGATACCTCTCAGGGTCACTTTGTACGTTTGTATCAAAGTCCATGCTATCATCGCCTAGGCTTGAATCCCGGAATCGTGATACTAAATGTCCGAGTAGTAAATCAGGTTTGTGCCGTGGTCGGTTTGATGGGATTGGATTGAACATACTTCTAATGGGATCTAATAATCCAGCCTCTGATGATACTGCATGACCTAAAAATATACAAAAAAAAACATGATATTGATATTGAACTAATGAAGAGTTATTGTTATTGGGATTTATAGTTGGAGATGTATTCAAAAAGCTGACCGTCTGCACAACACATAAACATAATAATTATATACAGGCACCAGATGATAGGCAAAGTATCATAAGTTATCAGAAAAATATTTAAAAAATTCCAAGTCTTATAGTTTTAAAATTACAATGACTGCACGGTTGGTGCGGTGGCTGGGCAACCGGCTGCCGTGCAACGTGCCGCGGGTTTGATTCCCGCACGGAACAACACTTTGTGTGATCCACAAACTGTTGTTTCAGGTCTGGGTGTCATTGTGTATGTGAACTTGTATGTTTGTTAACGCACCCACGACACAGGAAAAAATCCTAGTGTGGGGCAACGTTTTTAAAAAAAAAATGAATTATGAGTTATCCACGAAAAAGTACATCCTGTGTCAGTGTTTTGACTCATGCTGCTATAGTTCTTTATTTTTTCATCTGTATTTTGGAATACTTTATTCTGAATAGCGAAACCAGCGAGGATCTCTTGTTAAACCACATTGTCTGTCTGCTCATAATTTTGCTAACAGCATTTGTCAGCAATATTACAGTAGTACAGTCACTTAAAGTAAGGTGAAAATTTTATTAAGAACATTTGAGTCGTCAAAAAACGACATGCTTTTCCAAACTAAAGCAGTTGGCTTAAAATTTATGTTTCCATAATACTGGAGCGCTATTCAGGATAACGTAAGCAAAAATACAGACAAAAAATAAATAATTGTATCAGCAAGAGCCAAAAGACTGGTACTGGGTGTACTTTTTCGTGGGTAACACCAGTCATTGTAACTAACAAACTACATGACTAAGAATTTTTTCATGTTTTTCTGATTAGTGCCTTGCCGATCACCTGGTGCCATTTTATCGTCGACTTCAGGGCCACCCTGTATATGTCAAAATACTGACTTCAAATTATACGACGTTTGGCACTAAAAAGTGTAAATATACTTCATTTTGACTCCAAAATCCGAGACCCATTCAAATAACTTCGATCAAAAAGGTACAATATCATGTTCATCTTCGTCGTCTTTTTATCTAGTAATATTCATCGTCTTTTTATCTAGCTATGAGGTTATTTTTTAAATATTTTTTACATATACGAGTTTCTATTTCCTTTAATTAATGATTTGAGTTGATTAAAACAATAAGTCGTGTATTTCATTCAGTCAGTTTTAGAATGGAACGTAAATGAAATACTAATCTGTATCTGCGCCAACCTCAGCACAGCAAAAATCAGCATCCTCTTTGTTTAAAAATGTTTGTATCATTACACTTTTTATTTTTGGTTAAAAAAAACTACACGCTGATGCATTTACAAACAAACAGTTCACAATAATGCCTTTATCAGACAAAGAATTCTTTCATGCAGGATTCGAAGCTGCAATACGTTGCATGGTATCCAGTTGGTCAGCAACTGTACCAACCGCGCAGTGTTTAGACAAACACTATAAGCGTGTAACATATGAATTTCTTTCTTTAGTAATAGGTAGACTCAACATGAACAACAATCTACTGGACTTAGCAAGCTAAAGAAGTAGCATGTCTATATGTGTGTCTATAATAACTATGACTCTCTTATGACTTTTATAAAATTTTAGCAACAAAACATAAATACACACATATGCACACAAAAATAAAAATAAGGAATTAGAAGTGTATTACTTACCAATAACCACGTACAAATACAATAACAAATTAATTGATTGTATAGTTGCTTGAACAGTCATATTGTTTATACTCATGTACTTCCTAAATAATAAATTATATCTTCGAGTATTTAATTAATTAATAAAGCAATTATCATAGCAATCAGTAACAAGGAACCCCTTGTTTTCGTATCACTAGTCAGTCTCAAAGAATAAACAAAAGTACAAGGAAAATATTCTGAAAATAAACAACTACAACCGCAATATTGGCCGTATTTATCAAAGATAAATACTATTACAAATACAATTCGTATTTCGCCAACATTTATTCACAAACATTGTATCAAACTTATAAAATCATGACAAGTGGAGTCACTTTGACAGAGTATGTTTTTAATATTGCCTTCTTTGTTTTAAAGAAAGAGGTTGTTCTTGCAGTTCAGATTCAATACTGCTTCGACTTCTTTACGTTTTGATGCTTACCGGGACGCCGACGGGCAGACCTATGGGCTCGTAAACAAAACTGCGATGCGAAGTCGCATCACAAGAACTTGCAAATTTATTCGCATTTTACGATCCATATCACGACATAGTTTTCAATTTAAAAAACGTTTTGTACGGTTGACGGTCGTCGAAGGATTGGTCACCCTGGGAGACGCCTTGTCGCACGAAATCACATCGCAGCAATTCGCATCATAATTTTTTGCGTTGCGAATTCGCATCGCATTGCAGTTTTGTGTACTAGCCCTGAGTGCCTACATAATATTTTTTCGTTGTAGTATAAAACAATACCTACGTATATTTTTATTCTACTGTCACATAAAAATCAAGTATTAATTAGGCAACTGGTGAATAATTCCGTATATGTTCTAAACTGCAACGGGCCAAAAAATACAGATAGCAGCGTGCCCTGTGTAGCCTAACTTCAATAAGCAACAAAACAGCAGAAATATAAGTAATGGCACACTCCCCTTTAGTGATTTCCTTAGTTCAGCAGTGCATGTCTCAAAACAGAAGATAATGACAATCATTTTATGTTAGACGATGCTATAGCAGCAGATGAAATTATTGGTTAAATATTACAATATTTTTTGAGGGCGGACAATCATGACTAACCAATGACTTCTCCCGCCCGGGTGAGGTGGGAGGCAGTGTCAGACTCTTACTGACTAAAAACCAACCCGTTCCTACTCCAGCACTTCGACCCGGAGCCCCGGCAACGCGTTAAGTTTTCCGCGACTCCGTATAGGCATCAGCCCTATTGGGACCCATTTGTGGTGGTCTGATGGCTAATTTCATATACCTACGACTGTAATGTTAACGCCATTTTCCCCTGAATTGAGCTATGTTAGATACATAACAGGTTTTTAATACTCAAACTCAAATGTACAAATTTCAATCACACTTCACCCAACTTAAACCTCGGGTTAACTATACAACAAAATACATCTATACTTATGTGTAATATTTGTCGTTAATCCGCGTCGCGTGTCCATCGTGTGTGTACCACACCTGTCCCTAACTATAGTCATTTATAATCCTCGCTCTATTACGAGCAAATGGTCCTCTAAGACGGAAATAGTCAGTTTGTTTGTTCGACCGCAGATGTCCGATTAGCATTGATAAGTCACGAGTTGAGTGTGATTCCTTGTTACTCTGATTTACTGTTAGTTTAAGTCAGAGTAAATGAAAACGTTATTCGAAGTGTATTCAACATATTGTAGGTAATGTGATAAAAGAGTAGATATCACTAGAAATACTCTTTTGCGTGCGTGTATATATAATAGCTATGATTGATTGATTGAATCCAATGATGAAAAGAGGGTGTTAGAAAAGTGAAATGTGATGTAAAGTACAAGAAATTAGTGGACAAAATAGTGGCGTTCCAAGGACGCACACAAACTATTATGTGTGTACATATCAATTCTAAAGTTAGGAATTTAATACTGTCTAATAACCAGTAGTAAAAAAAACACAAAACTAGACGAAGCAAAAAAAGTCGCAACTGTAAATAAGACTAGAAACAGTAATCCGACTAAACAGCTAACCAATATGCGCATAATAATCTCATTGTAAGAGGCTCTCGACATAATGGAGTGTCGATTGAAAGCGCGTGCGCACCCCTCGTGCAAATCCGGTAAACCTATTGTGTAGAACGACCCTTAGAATCAGCTGGCACTTGAAAAAAAGTTATTTAACGGGTTACAAATGTTTGTAGCATTGTTTTGACTTGTATTTGATCGAGTTTGTAATTTAATCATTACACCTAGTAATGAAATTGATTAGTGACAAAGCATTATCACTGGATTGACCTTATTTTTTCTTTAGAACGAATTATTGTTTCTCCTGATTTATAATGCTTTATAATCTATCTAATAATTATATTGGTCTTTGTGTGAATTTGTTGTAATGGTGCTTATAGTGCGTGATAGTGAAACAAAAACAGTAAGATATTCTACGTGTACTTACGATTCTCGCAACTGACGCACCCTGTTTAGCTGACTGTATTGCTTAAATTATTATTTTTTAATTAAGATGTTGCTGTCTTAATTATCATTTGAAAAATATATAAATGATGAATTTTAATGTGGCTAAACAAAAGATTTACCGACAAAAATGAAAAAAAGAAGAGAAAATAACATTTTATCTTTACTTTACAGGAGTGTTGGATGTTTGTCAGTTTGTCTGTTGTATTCACATATATCTGATTGTTGGTACCTCAAAACTAACAAGATAGTGGATATATAGATGCACACTTATACACCAATATCTTAAAAAGTAACGAACAGCAATTTCGCGCCCTCTCCGCCTCGGCGATTAAACAGCAATCTGTCGGATTTGCGGCATTTGTGTCGATCACAAGTGCATTATTGAACAGAACATATGTACCATCGGCGAGTACCCCGCGGCTCACACGAGGAGGTCCGCGAGGGGGCTCTTTCACAAAAAATACAATTTTCAATAGGAATTTTGATTTTTACCGTAAAAATAGTCAGTTATTATTTGATTATAGAGTTGATCTGAGCCGGTTATACTTACTCTAATTAATAAAAGTGCTCTTCCTTTGTATTTGTATTACTATAAATCTGAGAGAACGGCAAAGTTCGCTTCTTTACTCACACGTCACACTTCTTTAATTATAAAGTACATCCTTCTTAACATACTGTTTTTGTAATTATGTAAAATCTGCTAAGGAAGAGCGGGGTCTCCTAACTCAGGCACATCTTGCTTAAAAGGAGTCCCCAATAACATGATCACCCAATGTAATCACAAATTACAATAATAAAGGATTTTTATTTCTTAATATTTCTTTCCTGGCTATTATTGAGTAATGTGGGTACTCATAATAAGTCAAATTACTAAAATATCCTTACCTATGTAGGAGTAGTCTATATAACTTTTTTTAATTCTAAACATAACTTAAACGAGTACCTACCAAATTACAATTCTGATACACTCACTAACACAAACAATTCGAAATAAAAACTGCATATTTAAGTCAACCAGATCAACAAGTCTCCACTGACATAATCCGCAAGACATAACGCCTCAGTGTACCCAAATCTATTATCTGCGACACTTCGTGCAGTCACCCGACACCTTTCGCCGGCCACAGATGGCGCTTTTATGTCAATCGTCATAATTAGGGGATTACAACCCCCTAATGACATGTTACATTGAATCTCTGTTACGCCCCCGAACAAATGTTCAACAAATAAATACTGTTGCAAGTCAGGCGCAATTTTTCGACTCTAATTGATACAACCCCTCGCGATTTGTCGAGATAAATTCGATGGAATGGGTAAAGAAATGCTTTTGAAGCTGTTTGGTGTTTGTACAAGAAGTCAAAATTAATTGGTATCGGATTCCATAAACAATTTATGGTATACTAGCTTCTTCCCGCGACTTCGTACGCGTAATCCCATTTTATCCCGTCCCCGTTCGTGATTTTCGGTAAAAATTAAAAAAAAAAAAATTGGTTAAAAAGTATTCTATGTCGGTCTCCTGGCTCTAAGCGACCTCCGTACCAATTTTCAGTCAAATCTATTCTGCCGTTCTTGAGTTATAAGTGGTGTAACTAACACGACTTTCTTTTATTTATATACTAGCTTCTGCCCGCGACTTCGTACGCACAATCCCGATATTTCCCGTTTCCGTTCTTGATTTTCGGTAAAAAGTAAAAAAAATAATGGGGTAAAAAGTATCCTATGTCCGTCTCCTGGTTCTAAGCTAACTCCCCACCAATTTTCATCCAAATCGATTTAGCCTTTCTTGAGTTATAAATAGTGTAACTAACACGACTTTCTTTTATATATATAGATATATCGATTTTTCTGCTTTGTTTTGTAGAGGAATTTGCATTATGCAGTTATAGAGGCCACTAATCGGAACGATTGGCCCACACCAGCCATTAACACAAGCCGCAGAAACACGAAACATTTTAACGGAAACGTCTAAAATATAAATGTTTAATTTCTATCTCTAATGGTTTAATCGTATCCCGAAAAATTTTAGCTAAAAAGCGAAACCAATATATTCGGCATCAAAGCCCCTAAAAACATGGAAGAGGATGAAAAAATACAACGTTTTAAACGTTAAAAGGCACCGTTTACCGCGGACGCAAACACTTAGCTCCATGTTAATTAGTAAGTAGCCAGGAACAACGTCAAAGGGAATGCATGAATACTTCCAAACCGACCTCCGACGGTGCTTTTAAAATCTCCCCCACTTAATTCAGAAGCTCAGAGAAACCGAAGGTAAAGTGATTATGTCGCCAATATGCGAAATTTTTCACAAAAATGAACGTAACGTTTGAGGCATTCCAGCGAACGGCTGCCATGTGGGAATACAATTAAAACGAGCTAAGGATCGCTATTTGGAATTTGTTATGAGGACTAACCACTTTTAATGTGGATCTACTTTTGTCGGTGGTTTTGTGATTTCTGTAAACAGTTTATCGTCGTTAGAGTGGGCATTTCATTGCAATATTAAAGTTTAAATTAGTTACAAAGGATTCATAGTGTCTTCTGTAATGTTCACACAACACATTCACTTGTTACTTACACAGAACAAAGAAATGCAGTTGTTTTGTTCTATAGTTGTTTATCAGTCAAATTGTAAGGAATCTTACAGTTTATTAGAAATACCGTTTGTGTACTTTTTTAACAATACACAATTTTTTAAACATTGCCCCACATTAAGATTTTTTGCTGTGTCGGGTGCGTTTACAAATATACAAGTTCACATACACATGACACCCAGACCCGAAACAACAATTTGTGGATCACACAAAGTGTTGTTCCGTGCGGGAATCGAACCCACGTTGCTCGGCAGCCGGTTGACCAGCGCCCGCGCCAACCGTGTCAACTATTAACATTTAAAATTATTGAAGAAACCTAGCTTCACCTAGTTTCATCTAGCTTCACTGATGGACTAACTGACAGACTATATTTATTTATTTATTTGTTGACGTTTCAAAAGTACCAAATTATGGTTGAATTGAAATACATGCTTTGACTTTGAAAACGGTTCGGAATACAAATCCTCTTTATTAGAATTATTTCATTCAACCATTTTCGTGATCAATCCTATAATCATCGTTTATACAGTAGGTATCTAATTATTTCAAACATCTCACCCATAAACATTACCTTTACACAAAAAAAACACGACACCCCTAACAAAATACTCAACAGTAAAATCAGTAGTACAAGTCCTAAAACATTGCGGCACGCCTCGAGACTTGGAATCATTAGCCTCATAACAGCGTTAGTTAAAGCAACGCAATTAGAATTACACGGGCCGCGCGAACTTGACCTACGGCAACGGGTCGATGCTAACACCGGTAGACCGTTATGCTAATACCAACGTTTCTTTAGTAGTGAGACGAAAACGGAAAATGGTTTTTCGGGTCATGTAAATAAAGTTTATATATCGTTGCGTATATGATTTCTGATGTATCTACCCATCAACGTTTGGAAGATCAAGTTTTGTATTTTGTTTTTTTGGTTATGTAATTTACTATGTGATGCAGGTCAATAAGAATCTGTCACTCTCTCCTGCCTCACCAAGAGCGAGGACTCATTTGATGATTTACCGTCCTCAAAAAAAACATAACAATAAGACCAATAAATTATTGAACATAAAAAACATTCTAAGATAATATCCACTGAAAAAAAGAAATAAAGAACATAATAAGTGATTTTATGTAATAGACATAATAAGTAAGCAACATTTGACCAAATTTTCAAAACTAATACACAAATTCTCTTCAACAGCGGAAGGTGCATTCAAAAAATTAAAGCCGGAGCCTGGTGGGGGCAGTGGGGGTGTCTCTGGCGGTGCTTCAGCATTGTCTCCAGCACTGGGCCCCCAGCACGCTGGCCATACGCCAACCACTGCCTCCTGTCCCACGCCTGCACGACGTCGGCATCGAACCACCTTCACACAGGTAAATTATCAACTTTGGTTTCAATAAATACACTGAAAGCCAGCTAGCATTTATTTTCATTTCTTGATAAATATTTTCTGATACAAGTATTTTATTAATTTGTAACGTATGTCGTATAAAAGAAAGATAGAAAAACCATTTATTTTACTACGACACACAACAAGAATTTAGGAACACACAAAAAGAGCCTATGGTGCGTCGCAGCGCAAAAGGCTGGAGCTCAGCTTAATACCGTGGACAGGGCACAGAGGCTCGAGCCCACGGCGCTTCCTGCTATAATAAGCTAGTGGCTCCGTTTTTTGCTCCCAAATACTTATAATAATTGGCAGGCAATAAAATACAATGAAATGCCATCAATGTCTTTTAGGTGGTAGTAACAGTTATATGTAAAATGCTGTCATTTAGCCAGATATGATTGAGAATCGGTACTGATCCCTAATTAGAAGAGACCAAGAAAAAACGCAGAAAGAAAATCAAAACTTCTTTTCCCTCTGAACTCTATAAAGATCAATATATGCATAAACAACGAACAAAATTTGTGCATTATTTAAATAATTAACATATTATTGTAACCACCATAAAACAACATTATTATATAAATGAGCAAATAGACGACGTATAATAATAATAATAAAATTGTCTTGTTTTTATTGTAACAGGAACAATTAGCAGAATTAGAAGCGGCATTCGCTAAATCACATTACCCGGACATTTACTGCAGAGAGGAGCTGGCGCGGACGACGAAACTTAACGAGGCACGGATACAGGTCAGTTACATCATACATAACATACATTATTTACATTATGTAACATCGTATATATTGTAGTATATTGATAGGAAAGGAAAGTACAGGACTGCAGGATGACTAAACATTAATATCAAATTGGTTTTATAGAAGAAGTCAATATGTATATTTGAGGCGAATTCTATTTTTGTCATTGTCACGACTTCTATGTTAGGAACGAAGTACCTAAAAAAGTTCACGTTGTTCCAAATTACGTCTCCTTAATGATAATCTTTGAAATAGTTGTGTTATGGATCCTATACGATCTTATAGATCCTATATAGATACCTTTCTCATAACAATCACTCGTTAAATTTTTAAGATATTTACTCAAAACAGTATATTAAGTACTTACATAATATTTTCACAAGGTTAACTAAAACTCGCAGGTTACTCACGTAAATATACTAAGAAAAGCTCTACTAGTATTGAGTCACAGAGGGGTTGCGCGACATCGCCGCAACTGCGCACGCTGCTCATGGGGAAGAGCCCCTCTGTGGCTCGAAACTAGTAGAGCTTTTCTCAGTATATTCACGTGAGTAACCCGCGATTTTTAGGTAATTTAATATGTCTCACAATAGTTATTTAATTTTTTTTTTACAATAGTCTTAAGATATATCATATTTTGTATTTATATTAAATATAGGTGAATACTGAAAGAATCATTATATTTAGTTTCTGTTAGACTAGCTAGCAACACCTGACTGAATCTGAAATATGTACTTACCTCTACATTTATTTTTTTCTTTCCTAAAGACAATACACGTAGATTAAAATATGCATTATGTTGCATGTTAAATATTCACGTTCACGACTCAATTAACATACACTGGAATGCTGCAAAAATGGACCACCCGCGGTGTGAATAAAATGGTAGGGAATATGGCAGCCAGCACAATAGTATCACGCCAGTCGTTCTTCGATGGAATTGTCGAAATATCAATGATGCGCGAATACTCGGATAATACAATTTGGAGCGTAGGCCGGAGGCGGATTGAATTAAAGTGGCATCTGTCGGGCTCGACCGTATGAATACGAAATGCTTACAGTAACTCGCGAGAGATCTTTATCTCAGTTTTAAAATTGCTCAATCCCCCGGGACCCTCGATATTGATTTGTCCCTGGAGCACCTAATTTGTCGCTTTAGATGTTTTATTCAGAACATGACTTTTAGCATCCTCTATTAAAGTCCCGTCTGTCTACCTATGAATTTTTCCTCGACTTGACTTTTTTTACGAATGCTATTACCGCACCTTACAAAGAATTTCTTCTCTCTAAAGGTAATCTAATCATCACATATTAACTCTCATCCATATGAAATAGCTTTCAAGTGATATTTTATTCACTGTCGCTCCATCAAGACGACAATTACTCTTTTCTTTCAAGCGCAACGAAAGTCGAAGGTTTTCTGAGAAATGAAAGGTTATGAACGAAACGACATTATTTCATACTTTTACGTCGCTACCGAGGCTAAAAGCACGTGAAATGCGCGTAGGCGAGCGTGCGCCTCTCTGGTAGGTGTAGTAGGTGAGTGCTGCACACACATACACACACGCGTCGATACACCGATACACGGTATGTGTCTCGGGGTATGTGCCGTGCACGCGCTCCGGAGGAGGCTATTAACGTTTAGGCGACGCTACATAAGAATGTAAACGTTAAAGACGACGTCGACGTCGAGCTCCCTCCTTCTAGAGGAAATTTCGATATAAAAATACAACGTCGCCGGGTGTGCGCGGGTCGCGGGCGGCGGGGCGGGAGGGTGGCCCCTGAGGCATTGCAATCCCATCAAATGGATCCGTAACGAAGTTAGCCGCTCATCCTCCCCGCGCGCCTCTCGACATTGTCTCTGCCCTCAAATGAATTCTACAATTGGAAATAAGAAAATGTTTTGTTGGATCCCCGTGCTTTTTCAGTTTAAAGGCGACCGTTTTCTTCGGATAACTCGGTCCTCCGCCACGATATTAGATAGCTATCTATACCTCGTTGTATTCGAACAAAGTGTCGATCGAGAACGACCTTTATTATGTTAACTCTATCTCTAAATTGTTTCTTGTTGATTGAAAGATTCGGTTGAAAATATTTTAGATACGTTTATCTTCTTGGAGTGGTTTTGTTTTTTAAGGATATACTTTAAGTTTACGCCTAACGTATGGAAAATAGACATTTTACGGATTTTGTTGATAGAAATTAAGTCAATTATATTTATTTTAAATACCTGTTTTACTACAATATCTCTTCAAACTGTACCTACCCTTCCTGGTGATTCATTATCTGCACATCAAATCAAATTATAAATATTTAAAGCTATGTTTGTTTGGGTAGGTAATTAAACTGGGTTACATTTACAGTATTTTATATTCCATAAACTATAATTTTTTTTTAATTAGATTCAAAAATTTGTAATATCCTTCATTATTATTTATTGATCTTTATTATTTTTACCTGTGCAAAGAAACAGCGCTTGTTCTGAAGTCGCTACAAATACCTTAGTTTACCTATAACACAAAATCACAAAACAATAACAGTATCAGTAGTTATTTATCGTCATATAAAATCCACGTTGTTTTTTTAAACGGTTAGGAAATTGCTTCGTTTTTCATTACAACGCGCAATGCGGGCGGAAGTCGGGTAGCTTTGCGAAAAAACTAATAACCCATTTATATTTCCTCTCTCTATCTATAACTATAGGAGGGAAAGAGGGAGCGTTTCCCAATCTTTAGGGCTCGATTATAAAGGGAAACTTCAATATGTATGGGAAACTACAAGATGTATGTTTTGGTAAAAATGTTTGATAAAGTTATTCAAAAGAGTTCAAAGGAATTTAAGCTGTTCAGAGTAACAGAGATCTCCAAGGATAAGGCCGGTTTTGATTGTAGTATGTGTATTGTAATCACCTAGAGATTTGAATTAACAAATAAACAAAGAATTGAATACATAATTTTATGCTATTAACAGAGGTATATTAATACAACAATTAAAATTATTTGTATAAAAGCGAATAGAAAAAATGTGTATTTTATTTAACCGTCGCGCCGCCTCACCGTTCTAAATGACTCCACCGTCTTTTTTGAACTTTCGTATTACAAGAACTATATTATTACAATAAAAAAATACGATCAAATTCACTTAGAAAAGACGAAAAACCACCTACACGAAGCCGGGGCAAGCCGTTAGTATATGTAAATAAATCTTAAACGGCAATGTTGAGAAACGCCGAAACAATATACCTACATAATATATATTTTGGATAGGGTGGCTTCACTAACAGTTAGGCATAGGGTATATCGGTTTATTTATATGGAGAGTGCGTGCGGAGGGCGCTCCGCCCTCTCGGCCGTACGAGGGATGGGAGGGAGGCACACCCTCTCCCTCTAATCAGCTCTAATCACCATATCAAACGACGCACGCTTTCATTCCCGTTGACAACACACAGATTAAGGGCTCGTGTTTTGTCCATTGTTTTATCTCTATATACATACCTATATACAATACTACCACTCTGTAATGTATACAGGGAAGATTCGATTTTATAATCCCGTTAATTAAATCCTTTTTTAAACTGAGAGTAGTGCAATGCGACATTAGGTTTGTGATAGAGATTATTGTGAATCACAGTGAAATTCAACTTGGGAATGAGCTGCCTTGTGCTCCTGTTCAGCTTGATTAACACTTTTAGAGACGTCTGTATGTCAATACAGTAAGTATAGATACAATTAGAACATTCAACAAAATTGTATGGTAAACCAGTGATCACAATTAAGCAATCAACCTATTATCAACTCTCAACCTCGATTTATAAAAAATATTCCTACTTTAAGATGTGACCTTTGTACCTTCACAGTTAGTTGTATTCTTGTACGAAAATAAGCTATCAAATCAAAATTAAATCACGAATCCAATCCAAAAACCAGTATCGTCTAGTATTCATTTACTAGGTGTTGCCCGCAACTTCGTCAGCATAGAATATAAGTTTAAGGACATGCATTTATTTTTGTTTCAATTTTCCAAAATAAAAATAGCCAATGTTACTCCTTAGTACATCAGGTACCTGCCAGTAAAACTCCCATCGAAATCGGTTCAACTATTTCAGAGATTAGCCAGTACAAGCAGATTTCTTTTTTAAATGTTATTTTGGTATAGGTACCTATCATATGCATGAAGTAAAAACCGGTGTAATATTGAAATTACAAACAGACACCTCAATTGTATTTATTTGATAGAGTATACCTCTACATTATTATTTCTCCATTACTCCCAAGAATTTCGTTTGCTCTACAACAGTAACCTCCCAAAAACCATTGATTTTAAAACCTTATTCACTCCACACAGGTCTGGTTTCAAAACCGTCGCGCGAAGTACCGCAAGCAGGAGAAACAGTTACAAAAGGCGTTGGCTCCTGCAGTGCTGCCTGGCTGCAACGGCATGATGAGGAACATCCAAGGATACAGAGGATACCAGCCTTACCCACATCCGAACACCATCAACAGATACCCGCAGGTAAATAACAATATCATCGAAATCTAACCATATGTATTTCTTCGAAGCTCTTGCTCATGAATTAGACTAGATAGGTAGACTATATAAACCATGTAGACTAATGTAAACTATGTAGACCAATAGTATGCGTACTTTACCAACTGATTATTTCAGTAAAGTAGATGTGTGACTAGTAAAATTGTCAAATCGCGCTTTCTTTTAAGTAAAAAGTCCTCGTTTTACTTTAGATGCCTAATTTTTATTTTAATGTCCGTCTTGGAGATTATTTTAAATCATTAGATACGTATTTTTTATTTTCTTACAGAAACGAATACTTTAGTCGATATATTGATTTGAAATGTCGCGTGACGTCACTTCTATGTACATTTTATACGTAAAAATGGCGTTTTAGCCTAAACTTTGAATCGTTTTATCTAAGTATTGTTTTATTATACGACAAAATAAAAAATACGAGTCTAATATTTTTTAATTACCTAACTTACGGACTAATTAGATTTTTAATGTTCATACCCTGTCATCATCCCAATTAATCTTCACCTTTCATCAGCCGCTACGAAAAGATACAATAAGAAATAGTCTCCAGTATTTCCTATTCTGGAGTAGCTATGTATAGCAAATCATTTATGAATTTCGTTTTATTTATTTTTTAAATTTTTAATATTCCAACCAGACATAGTAAAATAACGAGCTTCAATTAACTCAACAATCCTAACTAACACATTGGAACAGTCCTAATATTCAATGACAAACATTAGTTCTCCCCAAACAATGGCTTCCAGAAACAAGGCACTGATCACGTGACCAATAATTAATGACCAACTTAAAACACATTGTACACACAGGATGTTCATTTTCGCCGCAATTTGGACGCCATTACCATGCGGCGCTAATCAGTCTCCGTGATTACGCCATAATGCGATTGAACGTTCGGCCGGACAGACCGACGAAAATAATGCAAATAGTGGTCACACATTCCAATAATTCAGGAAGTGTATAAATGTACCAGCCTGTAGATAGGATTGGATCATTGCACTGCTTGTTAGTATCGTGTCGTTGATTGGCATTGTGTGCAATGGAATTAGCACTAGATGTCCGTTATGTGTGTGTTGAATTAATCACTATGCGTGTACTTATATTCGAAAAAATTTCAAAGTAAACCGGGCTAAAACAAACCACCAACGTTTTTATCAACTTCAAGTTGATTCTTTACCAGTTTTTTAGTCAATACCTAATTTAGTTTTCTATCTTTCCATATATGAATTAAAGTTACATATTTAGTAAATAAACCTCAATTGCACAACATACGTAGAACGTTCATTTCTATTCATAACCCTGCATATAATAAATACTATAACAATAAATTGATAAAATCCGTAGATACCTAACAATATCCGCATCACATCGCTGACCTAACGTAATTCCGCACCGCTATTCCATTACTGGAAGTGTTAATCGGTATAAAACATAAAGCCACGGAATAATTTACGCGATTAACATAAAACAGGGTGGGAAAAATCATTATGTTCGAAGCCGCGTGATCCTGCGTGCTAGTAATGCGATGATGAGATTCTGAACGCTGCGATGAGTAAATTGTTCGTAGATTATTGAAAAATATATTCTGGTTTGATATTGTATTTAGATGATTGTATTTTGTTAATGAGTTGTACAATTTCTTTTAGATTGTGCGGGTATTTTTGTTGTGTAAAATATTTTTTTCCGGCCTTAATCTTAGGCAATAACTTGGTTCAACAGTGCCATTTTTTCTTTACATCAGAAGCGACCCAATCAGTGCAGTCGTAATGTTAGAAAAATATTATTCAATTCAATTCTATTTTCAAATCAACGACTTTTAACCACGTACGAACATACCGATACCTATACATAAGACGAATGAAATCCAAACATTATCACTAACCAATTATAACGAATTAATTTTCCCCACGCTCGGTTTTTCACCTATGTCGTGGGTACGTTTACAAACATACAATTTTACATAGGTACACGCCACATAGAAGTTTCAAAATATAACCAACCTGTATATCTCACAGCACCACGGGAGCTACGAGGAGCTGCAGAAGGACATATTCTCGCTGTCGCAGATGGGAGGCGGCTCGTACCCTATGCCGCAAGGGTTCTCCATGGGACACGGGGCCAATATGAGCGCCGTCGGAATGCGACAGGATACAATGGGTGAGCTGAGTTATCAAACATATTATGATGGTCTATAATAGACATTTTCAAACCGATTTTGTGTGCAAGATGAAATTTTCATGAATACCATGAATCTCCAGCGTTTTTATAGCAGATTTTTATATTTGATCATATTATTGAAAATTAGTGAACAAAAATAAATTTAGTGGGTTAAACTCATGATTGAACTGGACGTAGACATATTACCTATAAGCCGAGGAAAATTTTGAGAAAAAATCTGTTTCGCTTTTTAGAGACATTGAAACTTTCAATAAACAACTAGTAATGACAAAAAGTAATTGTCTCCAAGCTCTCCAGCGAATACTTAATAAACAAAAATCGAAGAACAAAAACAGCAACACAAATTAATAACAAATTATCAACTCTAAAATACTTTAAAATATTTTCATACAACAAATTAGAGTAAGAACGATACCAAGCGATGCCAACTAAAATGTAAGTTGGTAACGTAAAACAAAAAGCGGTAGACGAGAGACGGCAGCTTTCATCAAGTTTCTATTAGAACCGTCAAGGCAATTATAAAGTTGCCTGAAGTGAAGATGATGCCTCGTTTTTATACAAATATCCCTGTAATAATGGGAAAACTTGTTCCTGGCCACACGGCCCCAGTTCCGACAGATGATCACGAAAGAAAAAGAACTTGATTACAATTTATTAGTATCGCCGCTCTCTGGTTTTTTATTACTCTTTGCTCTCTGGTTCGTCATTGTGAACGTACGGTTTTAATCTATTACGAAAAAAGAATGTTTTAATCTATAATTCTACGTATTTGTTTTAAAGTATAATGACGATGTGTTGTATCAGGGTCTTACTATCCATTTTTTGGAGTAAACATTTCTATAACTGAAGGTCGAACCTTAGAAATATATCTTAAAAAGGCCTTTGATTTAAAAAGGTTTTTTAATTCACATATATTTCTTAACTAGAGGTACAATGATTGTCTTAAGAAAATTAACTTATATCACTCTTAGACTATTTTTAGTTATAAACAAACCTGTTATGTAAATCTCAGAAGCATGTGTTGTATTAATTGATCGGCTCCTCAGCATGCGGCCGGAGATTGTTCATTTGCCATCTTCAGATCAAGACGTTTACATGTGACCTATATAATACCTAATATGAGAAACCTATAACTGGACCTACAACACTTCTAAGAAAGATATCTCTACTGACTTCTTGACTTCTCGCTCTTTTCCCTATTTTCTTTCTTTAAATTATTTTCTTGTGCCTACTATGTATAGGCTAAGACTAAAGTAAAGTAAAAAAAATCATAAATATCTATGATTATACTTTCGTCTTAGCTATTACCTATTTAGTCACTTCGTAAGAATCTGTAAATGGCGGAACGTGACTATTTTTCTGCAAACTTTTTTATAATCTAGCTGTTGATTCACCATAAAATGAATAAATAAATTATCTATATGGAGATGTATGTCTGTAGAATGTACAATTTTTTGCAAAAAATTGAACCAATACACTCAATAATTGCAGTAATTCAAAATATGTGTGTAGATACATGATTTCTTCTATTTTATTTTATAACAGAACACAAAAAAAAAAACATAATTTTATGGGTCAGCTAGTAAACGTCATCTTTTGCCTACTTTTTACTTATTAGACATCGCAAAATCTCTAACTACCCTGGTAAAAACTAAAGCCTAGAATAGAAAAATAAATAAAGTAGATTCTTATGAAAATCTTCCTTTGAAATACTTCTGCAAGATGGCGAACAGATTTTTTATTACAATGTTAATAGGTTTCCGTACCCAGAATCCATCTACTGCACTGTATGAAAAATAGAAACGGGAAGACGCGAAGCGATAAACCGTGAAATACGAAGCGGCCGCGGGCGCAAAGATTCCTGCGTAAGAAAAAACGAGCAAGTAATGGAAGCGAGGCATCGTACCGTAGATATTCTAATAAGAAAATTTCCACTACATTTACTTTGGCGGGCGTCCTCGCGGCGTCTTGGCAAATATCTTATTTCCTGCGGCGAGATTGCATCTTGAGAAAACGCGAGGGTCGATTCGGTACCTCACTATTCGCTTCCCTGCCCTCCTATACGTATATCGAATGTATATAGCTACGTCGCTACGCCGTAGCGGGGCTACGTACAACGGGCCGAACGTGCGCGCCGCGCTACGAACTCGCTACGAACTCTCGTAGACTGCTAATATCTATGTTCTTCGTGCTAACAATGTCTAATGTCTTATTGAACGAAGTTAAATATTAGTTTAACTAACGCTGCAACCTAGAGTTTTCTCTTGAAATAATGAAACTGAAATGTCTTTTATTTCTGATACTTTTTCAGTTTGTTTTCTTGTTCAATTATTATTTTGGATCCTTTAATAACTTCTTAATCCAGGATTACTGTAACTTCTATACTTAATGTACAAAATGTTGAGATTCTTGATAGGTCGTCTGTTTTATTTATAACAACAACTTTGTCACTGCGTTGAAACTAAAATATATCCGAATTCACTGGCGGCTTATGCCGCCGACGCGCCACGGCCGACGGTATCCACAAAAGGACGCCGTGCCGTCGGGATTTTTTACAAAAAAGGTGTGGTCTTATACTGTGTTCTGTATTTCTGTTTCTTGTTCGATCAATCTGGTAGTTCTTGTGTGCGACCTATTTTCAGCAATAAACGTCTTGGCTTATGGTAACGATAATAATAAATAGGAATAACATTCATAAATACATATTTATGAACATGAAATTATGTCACTCGTTGTTCAAACTGTTTATATCATCAACAGTCTGCCAATTCACTGCTAGATTATGAACTCATTCTACATAAAGGGGTTTGCTATGACCTCCATCCACGCATAGCAGGCGAGTCAGAGATCATAGTTTAAAAGGTTCATGTTTAACAAGGAGCGATTCTGTACGGTTCTAGTATTCTAACGATGGTGAGGATGAATAATAATGATGATTTTGTAAATCTAATATAAATTTTCTTCACCAGGCATGAGCGCCGAGGACGAATGGTACAACAAGTCGCTGTCCGCGCTGCGGATGAACAGCGGTCACCACGCAAACCTAGCGGCCGCGCCGATGTTGCAATACCAGACCTAATCGCTGCTGCACGGCGCCGATTACTCGCCGGCGCCGGCGCACGACTACGCGCCTCCGTAGTCAGCGCGCAATGGATTGCAAAGTATTGTGACATGTGGAAACGTCGCATAACTTTAAATTTTGTGGTTACAGTGATTTATTGCTAATGATGGAGTTTGTTTTAAAAATGCATTAAGTTACTTACCAAAGACATATTAAGTTATTCTTAAATGTATGTTTGTTCGTTTTGCAGGGCTATTAATAAGGTGACGTATACATTTGTACTAGCGAGTATGTACAAATTGAAGATTTGTCAGATTTGGGTTGTCACCAAGCCTCGACAAATCTCGTCATTGTTCTTTGCAATGGAAAGCCTCCTTGTATACAATGTATGAATTTGAATTTGTTCTACTTGAAGAGAAATACTATCGAAATGACACCGATAGTACAATATTTAGTTAGAAAAAATAAATGGAGACATTTTCTTAAGTACTTATTCATCAATGAAGATGTTAATGTATTTAATATCAAACTTCTATATTTTAATCCAAGTGATGCGCCTGTTTCCACGAAAAGAAAACATGTTTTATAATAAATATGACTTGAAATGTCGCAATTCGGTGCGCAAAATAAAAGTTCTATCGAATTACTTTCACGCGTGATTACGTGTTTAGTCTATACATAGGTACAAATAGTGTTTTAATTTATTCAGACCCGTATTGATAAACTACTATTTTCCCTTCCAAAAACTACCTACTACAGGTGATTTATGTATCTTGCTGTGTCTGCCATCTCAAGTTTTTGTAAGTACAAAGATATTTCTAGAAAATTCTAAAGGACTTTTCCTTTACAATTTTTCGTTTGAGCACTTCGACTGTTAGCGTAAATATATCAACAGTTTTTCATAATCTGTATCTATTTGAGACATCAACAGCGTTTTGGATAGTAACATCACGCCTTTTATCCCCGGAGGGGTAGGCAGAGGTGCACATTACGGCACTTAGTAGTTTTGGATAATATTTTGCCAGTTTTAGTGAGAGCATTAATCATCTATTACAGCCTCTAATAGTAATGTAGTGATTTAGACTTCATGCCCAATCTTCGAATCCCGATGGGTGTTTGGTTAATTATTAATTCCAGTTCAAATTTGAATTTTTCTCTTCTATTTTTGTTTTATCTTATGCACCAACCACACATTCCCCGGTTCTTCTTCAAAAATTCCATCCTAAGGTTATTTGGAAGAAATCGCCGCGTGTGATAGACCGCCGATTGTACTCAAATTACCATTACTAAGTAAACTATTTTTTCTGTGTGTGCAATAAAAATAAGTAACATTTCCTTTAAAGTTGGCCACAAGCCTACTGAGCCCCTTTCTATTAAAAATTGAGAAGAATTTGACATTAAATCCTCAGCCACCACCGGTATTTCCCTCAGTGGTTTATCAGTACGAGTCTAAAAACGTTTGTTTCACGATATGCGTAAATTGTGTATGCTAGTCATTATTGTACAGACATTTTAAATCGAATAAGATAAGTATGTATTTTCTTGATTGTTGTATGTATTTATTGACATAAATTCTTGGCCTTTGTTACTGTGATGACTCTTCGATTATCCATTCAGAACGCAAGTTTTCCCACCATTCGAAGCGCTAGTAAAGCATGAGGCTTATTAGCCAATAGAATATTTTCTTAATGTCAAGTCATTAGTCAATCAACATAACATAAACTATTTGGACTAATAAGAATTTATGGCTCACTAGCGGCGTCCCGTGAGAGCAAAACCGAAAACCCTTTTATTTTAAACTTTTTTTATAACACTTTTTATATTTTAAAATATTTCCATTACATTTTATAAGCCTTTTAAATAAGCAGCATCACGACTTTTAAATAAATCGTGATGCTGTTATGTCATTGGCAGACCTATTCTATGTAGGTAGATCTATTTTGTTGAAGTCGCATCGTGTTTTTATGAAATGTTTATTGTTTTATTTTTATATTATGTTATGTAAGAAAATAAGAGCTATCACAGAACAAAGTGTAATCTAACATTGCAATACAGCCTGTGTAAATATAAATTGGTTTTGCATGATCATTTCTAAGGTGTTAACAGCTCAACGATATTGTAATGTTAACTAGATATTGTTTAGTCAAATTTATAATAAGAGGCCATTTTCATTACATTTTTTAACAGAATACAAGAGCCTTCTCACACGATACCGAAGTCGCGGCGACATTTCCTTTAAAAAGTCGCGCGAAGTTTGTTCCTGCGATTCAAGATTGCGTTTTTCGTATACCGTCGCAACAACCGCTGGTGTGAGGAGACTCTAAGCCCAAAGAATGCTAGTCAACTTATACACATTTATTAACACCCTTTGATCTCATAGACGTAATTATAGTAATAAAAATAAAATGAAAACTAATTATAATTGTTTCGGCTTTTGTACAAAACAAAATCATATCAATTAAGACTGTTTCGGCGATTCCCAATTCACAGTCAGTGGCCATACTGTGCATTTTAATGTAAATATAATATGTAAGGAAACTTGTCTAATAATGAACATGTGTAAAATGAAATAAATTGTCTAAAATGTAATCGACTTTTTAATTTCAAACATAACATTACTACAGCAAAACGAGAGAAACATTATTACAGTTTGGAAAATATTTCTAAGTAACCCTACAAAAGACTACGTATAAACAAAAAACTGAAACACAATAATATTTTTCAAAAGAATAATCCAAAAGATACGAAAAAATAACATAATAATAAGAAAATTCTTTATAATAAAGAAAAATAATTCTTTTCCGTTTTACAATCATCGTAGTTGTTAAAGTAGCTACTGACCACACCATATTGTGACGTGTTACATAACCAGAGTTTATGCTGTCAGGACGAGAAAACAAGGCTCTTTCAGACTCAATCTCTGTGATTGGTTGGTTCATTGAAGCAGACCAATCACAGCGCTGAACGCGGTAATGTTTCGATCTTGTTAAACGTACAACAATCTTAAGGTCAAAGTCAAAATCAGTTATTTCAATAGACCAGGGAAGGCACTTTTGAACGTCAAAACAAAATATTAAATAATAAGAAAAAATATCAGTCTGTAGGTCAGTCCTTTAGTGAAGCTATTTGTGTATTCTCGTATGAAGGTCTCAGGTCCCACCTTCAGTACCCACCTTTATAATAACATCTATGTTTTTCGTTCATGTGTTTTGTGGCTTCGGTGTGGCGAAGTGTGGGTTAGTAACAGAATACTTGTCGAGGTAACGTGTGACATGCGCCATCACTATGCGTTCTCCGCCGACCTTCTTCCAGAAATTCGATGCTTCCTGGCGTACCTGCTTGCTCTGACCACATTCCTACACACGCAAATAGGGTAAGTTTGAAAGATTGAAAGTAAAGAAACTAGATCAAAATCACAACACTAATACTATTAACACAAGGGCCTACTTGACAGAAATCTGTGTAGTGTATTTTTTAAACTTCTTTCAAAATATTACAACGATAATTTTTTGTGGGACTGCCAGTAATGACGTTATATTTTTCGTCAAATATCATATTTATTCCATAAATAATATCGATAAAAATGGATGTTGTATATAACTATGTCAAATTTCTATTAATAAACGTGAAGCCGCAGGCGAATAATTAGCATATTATAAAATACTAAAAAGTTGCAAATATGTAAATCAATAAATATTTATTTTGGAAATTAATCTACTGTAGCAATTCCCATTGTATTAAAATAACGTTGCTTACCGATGGTAAAGACATCCCCGTAGTGCTACCCTCTTCCTAAAATAAAAAAATAAGGAAACAATAAAAAAATTACATCTACATCATAAAGTAATTAAACTGAAAAATATATTACTTTCAAAAACTATTCAAAAAAGGTTCGAAATTTTGTGACTTGTCACACACTGGGTCTTCTTATATTTGGTGTGTCATTGTGTCGCCGCATGTCGAACTAGTAGAACTTTTTTTTAATAGCTTACAAGAATAAGCCGTATCATTAACATTTTGCATCATTTAGTATGATTTCATCATCATCAACAGCCTATAAATGCCCACTGCTGAGCAAAGCCTCTTCTCAGACGGAGAAGGTTAGAGCATTAATCACCACGCTTGCTCAATGCGGGTTGGCGATTTGAAACTTATAATTTAAAATTATAAGCCCAGGTTTCCTCACGATGTTTTCCTTCACCGTTTGTTAGTGGTGTCTAAATAATCTTAGAAAGTACATATAACTCGGAAAAAGTCACATTGGTACTTGCCGTTGGTAGATTTCGAACCCGCACCCTCATGCATGAGAAGCGGGCGTCTTAAACCTCCGGGCCACCACGACGTTAGTATGTTTTACAATAGTTTATATACAAAAAACATAGGTAACACTCCATCATCATTATATTTTCAAGGGGCAAAGCGGGTAATCGGTCAGACAAATCACCTGATGGTAAGGAATCAGTACTGCCGATGGACACTCGGAACACCAGAGGCGTTGCAAATGCGTTACCAGCCTTTTGGGGATTAGGAATTTGAGGATTGTTGGGGAGTCGGAGATTGGGAAGGGGGGTAATTGGGTAATATTAAGTACAGGACATTCACTTCATAACAGAGACCTCTCCCAATGACTCCCATATATCTGTTGGAAGCGAAAGTAACACTTTCGCACGAGAAGGTACATATGTAACCTAAGATGATACAAGTTCAATAGAAAAAAGGCCACCCTATTGCTATGCTCCAGACTGGAGTGTTCAATCCAAACTTCCTCCTTTTGACACGAGGATCAACAACCCTAAAATATCTGGCTGACTCGTGGAACTAACCCCATACCCTTATTAGATGCACTTATGATCATTCGAAGTAGGTAATCCTGTAAAAGAAGGTTATTATAAGCTCTGTTAACCCAGAGTACCACGTCAGTCACCGGTGCCCTACGCTAGAGGAATTTCGACTTTCACGTTAGCAATTAAAGTGTTAATCAATTTACATATTAATAAATCAAGCATTACTTACAAAGGCGGTCTTAGCGACAAACTTATCGATCACAGAACGGAATGTGCCCACTTTGCGAGCCTCCTAAAACACAAAAGTTACAATGTGACACAAATAAAATATAACTGAACCGATATTAACTAACTTTTGAATACATCGACCAGATTAACGAAATATTATAGAAGGGCTTAATTAAAAGTACCTTTAACAAACGAGCATGCATGAAAAGATTGATGACTGTTGATGAAGCGAAAGAGGTATGTAAGAATCGTAGCAATTGGTTTTGCATAGTCTCTGCCTACCTCCATAGGAGATAGGCGTGACAGGTGATATGTTTGTGACTAACTTTTGTCGGCGGTTTTGCTTGCGTGAATTTAGCCTATATTCTTCTCTATACTGCCAACTATAATGTATGCTAAATTTTAAGAAGATTAGTTCATCGTTTTTTATTTCTTCGTATCGAATATGCTCTGAAACTAGTCATCATCATCATCATCAGCCTATAAATGCCCACTGCTGAGCAAAGCCACTTCTCACACAGAGAAGGTTTAAGTATTAATCACCACGCTTGCTCAATGCGATTTGGCGAAACTGAAACTAGTAACCCAATTAAAAAAAACCATCAAAATCAAAGCATTTACTTCAATTTTTACCATTTTTACCATAATTTGGTACTTTTGAAACGTTAACAAATACAAAATAAATAATAGTCAGTCAGTCTGTCCGTCAGTGAAGCTAGGACTATTAAAGCAGTTTACTTTTCAAATATTCGAACCTACTCAAAGTAAAGGTACAGGCAGAAAGCTCTTACACCTAAACTTATGGTACGTGGTGGTGGTATTATTCTTATACCCACATTCAGACCCCTACTAACATCATAAGTACGTTTGTTTGTATATGTGTTCATTGCCTCTTTACGTCTTATCTAATGCGCCAATCTATTTGATATTTTGCATACCTACGGTTATAAGTTCCATTCTAGTTACGAGAATACAGGGACTTGACTTTTGCAAACTAGCTTCCACTCGTAGCTTCGCTCGCGTTCCCGTAGGATAAAAGTAGTCTATATGTTATTCCCGACCATAATCTAACCTTATTCCGAATTTCATCACAATCTCATCAGCTGTTTTGAGGTAATTAAGTAACAAACGTATACATAAACACAAAAAAATCGTATGTATAATATTAGTAAGAAGTAGGATTGGGAAAAACCGCTGGCAGAGGTTAGAACATAATTTTTTTTATATGGGACAAGCCCGCCACAACCTCCCAAAACCGCTGCAACTCCTGTAAGCCAGGATCTACAGTAGATACAACCATGAAAACACCGGAACATTGAAGTCCGGCGCGTCCCAGGGACATGAGTAACTGTCTTGGTTCCCGCAACGAAGTGAATCAGAAGAACATAATATTAAAAGTAAATACAAACCATAGTAAAAGTGCCAGTAGAAGATATGGAAGAAATAGAATTGTGAGCTTCCAATAATGTTGATTGCAATTGATCCAACTCCGCGTCATACATGGCGAACTTTGATTTCAGTAGCTCTTGTATCTGCAATTTAATAATGTCATTATACTGTGCATTTTTTATGGAATAGGAGGCCTACGAGAGAGAGATCAGGTGATCCGTCGCTGATCGCCTATCATCAGGTAAAAAAGATATGTTTTAAGCGTGCTTCTAAACCGGTCACATTTTTTACAGTGATTACAATATGTAACTGTATATACTGTCATGCAATATTGTAGTTATACCTATCCTGGTCATTATCCAATCTATCCAAACATTTTTAGGAGATATAGCCTTTTATGTCGCATATATGACTATGCAGTTAGTTGCCAATAATCGATATTGCAAAAAAAATAATACCCCTTTAAAAGCACCGTAATTTACCGTAAAATAATATATTCTTATTATTAGAATCGCCAAATCAGTGTTTGGCAATCGATTAATCGGAATTAAAGCTATATATTCCTATAAAATCTCTACTATATCTATTATTTACTTTAAGTAGCTAAAGGAAGCAAAACAAAACTCTTTATTTTCAATGAATAATAAACACAACAATTGAAACTAGTTTGCTCTGCTAACGCCATCTATTAGTCGAGTGTGTCATGGTGAAACAATTCTCTCGAGAACGGGCTTTTAACCCCCAGACAAATGGCTCAACATTACCGAGAGCTTAAATCAAAAGGAACTTAAATACGCTGTCATTAGATAGATGGCGTTGCGCGTTGTAACTAAAACTATTGATGCATAAATCGTCTAATATAATAATAAAACAGTAACAGTGAACATTCCTTTTGAAAATGTCTCCAATGAAAGCTCAATAATACTTTGCCATCTTGCAACTACACTAACAAGAAAAAGAGACAGTTTTAGGTACCGTATCAAACAAACCTCAATGAAAAAAAGAATGAACCTCTCATGTCGACCTTTAAATTAGTAAATAAATAATGCCTACCGTCCCAATATCTTGTTCATTAATGTCATCGACGAGATCTCTAAACGATTCCTGGTACAACGTAGACATCCACGGTTGAGTGAAGAATTCGTAGAAATCGGTAATTTCTTTATTCTGTAATGAATTGAGGTAAAGAGCTAAGTTGAAGACTTTTTACAAATTAATATTTAGGTTAGTAAGAGCTATATGTCATATATTTTCGATAGCATATTACTCGTAGTACGAACCAACTACTTCCAAGTTCTTTCACACGTTAAACGCCATGGGAGTCACCGGTGACCGGCGTTAGCGGAGGATTTACCTTCAACAGTTTTTTTATTGGCAGTCAAAGTCTTAAATCAAAATGTCAAAAATCTGCCCCGTCACTTCTAATTCCAAAGATCTAGAATCGCCTAAACTATTTTTAGCGCCCTTTAAACCTTCCTTGGACTTCCACAAATAATTCAAGAAAGAAGAAAATTAGCGAAATCAGTTTAGCCATTTTCGAGTTTTATCGAGACTAACGAACAGCTATTCATTTTTATATACATAACTAGCTGACCCAGCAAACTTCGTACTGACTAAAAATTATTTTTGTTCGCGCATTTTAACCCTTTCCTAAACTTCCACGAACATTCCAAGGCCAAAATTAGCCAAATCGGTTCAGCCGTTCTTGAGTTTTAGCGAGACTAACGAAGGGAAATTCATTTTTATTTATATAAATAGATATATAGGTTGAGTAATAGATGTTTACCTGGAATCTCGTATATAGTTTATTGAAGAACGCCTCATGTTTGCCGTACAACTGCTGCAGTATCTCCGGAGAGAAGGGATTGTGCGAGAGACAAGTGACGGCGTCCACCACATGCAGCACATTTAGGTGCAGACGGAAGTAATTGTCGTCCTTATCCGTCGTTAGAGTATGACCCTGGTAATGTGAGATGTACACGGTTAAGCATAAAATCAAGTGTAAACCAAGGCTTCAAGGCCCGAATGAATAGGTTGCTTATGGATGGACGACGGACGTGCTCCATCGTAGACCGCATCATCGCTTACCACCAGACGAGGTAGTGATCAAACGTCGTCGGCCCATCAAATATAAAAAAACAGTTCATCGTGGTCTCCTTTATATAATCTTTCCGCACCTTTAACGGTGAACCAAGAGAGTGGTTAGTAGCAAGAAAGCTCAAGAGATTTAAGAAGTGTGGGAGAGCCATTCTTCGGCACGAAAGAGCCGGCTCGACCGTACTGATACCACGGCCTCATAGAAGACCGACATGAAACAACGTTTGCGTTGTATTTAGTCGTGTGAGTGAGGATCATTAACAGCCTATAAATGCCCACTGCTGAGCAAGGCCGCTTCTCACTCGGAGAAGATTTGAGCATTAATGAGTGAGGTTACCGGAGGCCCAATTACCCCCCTCCCCCTTTCCCCAATCTCCCATAACCCTGAATCCCCTCCTAAAAAAATCCTCAAGGTTTCTAATCTCAAAAAGGCCGGTAATGCACTTGTAACGCCTCTGATGTGTCGCGGAGAACCTAACGGGTAACCGGGGCTCCGGCTCGACGTGCAAGAGAAGGAACGGGGTGGTTTTTAGTCAGTAAGAGTCTGAGACTCCCTCCCGCCTCACGCAGGCGGGAGCAGCCATTCGATGATTTTCCCCCCTTAAAAAAAACGCCTCTGATGTTCCAGGTCCCCATGGGCGACGCGCGCCGATTGCTTACCATCAAGATCAGCTCATTTACCGGCTTATCCCATATAAAAAGAGACTTCTTTCTTCAAATATATCTTCTGTTTTATTTGGTTACGATGACCAAGACAGTTGTTCATTTCTTTTCTAGGTAACAGGCTTCGTTATTTCATTGCATTTTGATAGTAACCCAATAATGGCCTTGATTTCCGACTTGTAGGAGGACAGGAGTTGTAGTGATGATGGATTGTGTGGCGATCAAGGCGAGGATCAGACCCTTTTTTAATTACACGCACATTGGTCAAAAGGGGCGACACTACCGATATTTTAATGTCATTTATTATCAAGTTTTGTAAGTTCATAAGATTATAAAATTGATAATATACGGACCTGTCGAGGTAAGCATTGCTGGATAGCCATAGGAATCTCTTTGCCAGGCTTCCGTAACTTCAAATAATATAATGGACCAGGTAAGATCGCAAACTGAGTGATAGGGGATTCAAATTTCATCACCGGTTGCCATCTGCCAATGGATACAGGTAATCAATTTTTAGAAATAATAATTAATTGAAATATTTAACAGGTTCACACACTTATCTTTTACGGGTTGCTTCGGTTCATTATTAACAAAATAACTTGACCAGTTTTAAGCTACGTTAGGAGGTCATAATCGTTCATTAAATAATTACGTAACTTACCGTTAAGCATGATTTATTTAATGTCTCACGAGAGTTATATTACAAACTATGTAATGGATGATATTTTTAATTATTATGTTTTTCGGCTTACTCACGTAGGTAATTATTTGACAAGGAATTCGACTAATTTCAAGACATGCTAGAGGCTCATATTCATGAGCAGCATTTCGCGACCCGTGACGCGGCGACTGTCGCGCTACTAGTTACTACTGAGCAGAACAGTCGCCGCGTCGCGGTAAGCTGAGAAAGCCGAAAAACATAGTAATTAATTTAGTATGTCTCACGAAAGTTATATGATGATATTTTTATTGAATAACTATTTAACATACACATAATATAACATAACATAACATCATGCCTTTTATCCCCGAAGGGGTAGGCAGAGGTGCACACCGATGTAACACCCACTTTTCACTTTTTATGTTATGAGTCCCATGTAATAGGGGGTGAGGCCTATTGCCATATACCGGGTACACTTCCAGACTCCATGCTACCACTGAGAATTTTTCAAAAACCCAGTAGTACTTTGCCCGACTCGGGAATCAAACTTTTCCCGGAGACCCCTAGCCGGCAGTCGCACTTGCGACCATTCGGCCATCGAGGGAGTCTTATATAATAATTTGTTATAAAATTAAACTTAAATCATAATAACAAAAAACTTACTTCCTGAACTGTGAAGTCATTGACATTCTGGAGAGGCTGGTCGTTGCTGACAACGTGCTCTTAAACCTACAAAATTATAATAAAAATAAATCAAATTGTTATTATTCATATTATGTATTATCTATACTGCTATACTAATATTATAGGTAAACTACCGGACCCAACAGACGGTCATCAAAATCGGTCCAGTCGTTTAAGAGAAGTTCAGTGACATATACACTCACAGAAGAATTATATATATAAAGATAGCAAACAATTGTGTTTTGAATATATGTTTGTAATTTATTCACATAAAAACTACTAGAACGATTTCATTAATTATTTCATCATTAAAAAGCTGCATCTTTCCAGAACAATATGGACTATAACTTTAAACAAATTGATTAATTACTAATTTCGTTACGAAGCTCGCTTTGTCCGCGTCTTAGTCTACGTGATATACATAGGTACTCGGCAGAGTTACAAAAATGATGTGTAAAAAGTTATTTCATAAGTTCATACATATATAAGTACATTGTCACAACCTTATATATTATAATATGATTTGACTGCACGATTGGTGCGGTGGCTGGGCAACCGGCTGTCGTGCAATGTGTCGCGGGTTCGATTCCCGCACGGAACAACACTTTGTGTGATCCACAAATTGTAGTTTCATTGGGTGTCATTGTGTATGTGAACTTGTATGTTTGTAAACGCACCCACGACACAGGAGACAATCCTAGTGTGGGGCAAAGTTTAAAAAAAAAATGAGTAATGACACTGTTTTTATACATAAATACATTGAACAATTACCCTAAGCCACAAGAACTGTATCTGGGTAACAGGTCCGATGGTACCTCTGCCAGTTCAGGGTCTCCCATCATGAACGGATCCATTTTGTGCAAAAAGAGTCTTGCCAACTGAAAATATACGCTATGTTGTCGGTTTTAAAGTTAATTTTATTGCAATTAAACATGGTGTAGTTAGTAAGGGCGAAAAAGTGATGTGTTTTACTTTTCGAATTCAAGAAACAAGCTTCTTTATGCATTATACGTGAGTTTGTGCGAACTTTGTTTATTTATAGGTTAACTGTTGTATTGTGGACCTTATCTGCATAAGAGGGTATTATAATCTTCACAATATTCAATTGGGTACTTTCCTTAATCACAAATAAATTATTTAACTGTTCAATACAATAAAATATTAAAAAATAAACACACAATTGATTTTATGACCAACTTAATTTTAGTATTTTTCTAGCAATTTTTTATGAGTTAAGTATGCTGCTTGACGCTAATAAACGTGACGTCACAATACACAATCTCGTACAAAGTTCATAGAAAACTGTCGTTTTTGACAGTTCGAAAAAAGTATTGAATTTGACTAGTTGACAAGTCCCCAATACTTGGTTCAGAGTTCACGTCTTCTCAAAGGTTTTGCGGCGACAATACTATGAAAAAATACATTTACCGCTTCTCCAATATCCTCAGAATAATGATCGCGGTGCATGCTCCGGCCTGCGTACAATCGCCGGGAATACCTCACGCAAGTCCCGGCTCCGAATATATTTGGATCATTGGTCTCGAACGTGGGACTCACCACCAAACCACCGTCGTAGACTAAACCGCTTTCGTTTATCGCTGTACCAAGGGAATAAAATAAATACCAAAAAAGCTGGACTAATTTGAAAACGGACCAAGACTTATTATTATCATGAGCTGGGTGCGCGATGAATGACATCATACAGCCAACTGAGTTAATCGAGTATGGGTCCCGGTGCGACTTGAAAATGGTCAAGCTTTATCAAACAATTTAAATTAAAAAGGACACAGCAAAGAAATCAGAAATATAAGTTATTCAAAAGAGCGAATTAAAACAGGACTTACCTTTAAATGCATATAAATTGATGGCACGTAGCCCATAGTAAAAAAGAGCGAAACATCTCAAAGAGATAGATATCAAAGGTGCCATGAAGTCCAGAGACTCCACGCGACTGCCTATCTGATGCCAAGCCGCCAAGTGACACTTGCGTAAAACACGAATACCCATATTTTCCACAGTACATTGAACACGTGCATCGACCTATAAAAAGTAGATTTAGTTAGGAACCATATCTTGGAAGTATAGGACTTCATTATTTTAAGCAATAACCCATTAATAACATAGTGACTTTTGCTTTTTAAACGACAAAAATCCAAAACCTACTAAGCAGGCACTACTTTGTAACACACAGATACTATGGTCAATGGTGGTGTTAAAAAATACAGTTCTTTGAGTGTGATTGTTAGTAAGAAGTTTAGCGGATTAGGTTAGGAAAAGTGATAATATATCAAAAAACATTATAAGACGTAAAATAAATAATACCGTTTCGTCATTAAAGCAGTTGACTCTCATAGGAGAAGGTTCCTCATTCGAGGGGAACGGCTCCACGAAGACAATCAGTTCTGGTTGTAGCCCCAGCTCCAAGAGTGCAGCGATACAAGAGTACGCTTCTATACAGTCACCGTACACGACCACTTGGTTGCGTTTGCTTAAAGGTTCACCATATTCTTCTGTAGAGAAAAAAATACGATAGTAATTTCTTTCATACGCTGAGAAATTATATTTCTAACAGCATTTACTTGGTGGATATTAATGATACAGACACATCGGGTCTTCTCGTCAACTCTACCGCGAAGCCTGAAGACAAAAGTCTTCAACGAGTGCGTCCTGCCAATAATGACATACGGAACCGAGACTTGGACATTGACAGTGCGTCTGATCCACCAATTTAAGGTCTAAAGTAAGTCTAAGGTAAGTCTCTCTAAAGGATAGGATTCGTAACGAGGTGATCTGATAGAGAACTAAAGTTACCGACGTAGCCCAAAGGATTGATAAACTGAAATGGCAGTGGTCGATCACATTTGTCGAAGAACCGATGACCGTTGGGGTAGACGTGTTCTGGAGTGTAGACCACGTCTAGGCAAACGTAGTGTAGGGCGCCCTCCAGCTAGGTGGAGTGACGATATCCGCAAAGTGGCTTGTAGTCGTTGGATATGTAGAGCTAATGATTGAGCACAGTGGCCTGCCATTGGAGAGGCCTACGTCTACGGCCTATGATGACAGACACATCTATAAAACGGGTTTACAGATCATATAAATCTATATAATTTTAAGTACTACTACTGAACATAGGCCTCCCCTCGCCTCCAATATTTTAGTACTTAACATAATAATAAAATAATTTTATATCGTACAAAATTCTTACTCGGATCACTAATCATGCGCATGAGTTTCTTCAAGCAGATATTAGCTTCAAACAATGAGTTGATCAGAAACACATTCTCAGGCATCTCGGGAGGCATTGGCACTGTCTCTGGCTTATATTTGGGATTGTCCAATAACATTCTATCACAGGGTTTACCTTTACTGAATATAAAACAAATATTAATTAACAATTCCCGGCAAAAAGGTGCAAACGATTCACTAATTTAAAAATTTAAAAACAGTACATAGTCTGAAATGCCTCTAGGTATAAAGGACTAGGTATAAGGAAGCAAGAAGGTAGGTATCAACTGTTGATACCATTATGACAAACTGTATTATTTTCGCAAAAAGTCTCGTAATATCTAAGTTGTACATTAATAACAATAGAAGCTGAACAATAAAAAATAAATAGACTAGGTAATTATAATAGCCTCGAAGGTTCTTATGTCAAGATCCGTTTTTCTATACTTACGCCACTTCTTTGACTAGACCCAGAGATTCTTTTAAATAATCTGGATGTTGGAACTGTTGACCGCAAGTCAACACCAGTTCATCATAATACTTCGTACCGCAACCCTTTAAATGTATGCATTTTCTTTTCCTGTAAAACAATTGAACATTGTACGATATGCGTGGAAGTATTTAGTAGCAACTCTTTATTGGCTATGTGCAAAGCGAGTAGTGGCGGACAGATAACGACCGCAGCGCTCAACACGGCAGAAATTGGAAACAAATGCGGATGATGCAAACCCAGTTTTTATTATTATATTCATTGTACAGTAAAACTATTGAATAAATTGCACTTAAATAAAATTATAATGTTTACATTGTTATTATTTGACAGCTTCCGCAAATGTTGTAAATGCTACGCGTCGCCACCGTCGCGCACATAGCCAATAAAGAAAGAATCTCTTAATAAGTCTTTGCATTTTATGACATACGCCCGATAATTGAAAGGCTACTCAATTTTAGTTGTACTTAAATATCGTGCAATCTCTGTCATTATACAAAGAATTTGTAGAGATAGAACTATGTTTAAGCCCGACTTAAAATTGAGTAGCGTTTGAATTTTCGAATAATTTTTTAGACTTATCAAAAATATTTACTACAATTAAAAAAACAACTACCTACAATTATCATAAGATTCAAAATCACCTGTCAATCTTAACCATGACGGCAGACATGACATCCAAATAATAGTAGAAAGGCATGCTCTTTAGATACCGGTCAGTGAATCGACCATCTCTGGGCACACATATATCAGCTGCCTTCAGACAGTCAGATACAGTTGGCAGACCGTGCTCTGATACCAGGGTGACGTTACTGAATGTCAAGTATTGGGATGTGGGCCTGAGAGAAGAAAAAAATCTAGGCTAACTAATAATGAAATAGACCAATTTCTTCATCGTTGGTCGACTGACACTCAATTGTATGTCCATTCTTTTAACTGTTTTTTTAAGGGGCGTAAATCATCGAATGACTTCTCCCTGGGTGAGGCGGGAGGGAGTGTCAGGCTCTTACTGACTAAAAACCACCCCGTTCCTACTCCTGCACTTCGAGCCGAGCCCCGATAACCCGTTAGTGTTCTCCGCGGCTCCGGATTCTTTTAAGTTTAGGGGCCACTTTCTTTCTCAATTTAACAACTAACAGATGAACGTAATACTCAATTTAAAACTTGTTTCACTTATAAATAACCAGGGCCTCTAGCCAAACGCCACTTTAGCGCTTGTCTACAGAGAGAGTAGAAATCAAAATGTATCGGGATGACACTGACAAGTGTCAAAATTTACGTCAATTCCATATAATTTGGTTTTCTATTCTACATGTAGACAAGCGCTAAGTGGCATTTGGCTACAGCTGCAGGAAATCTTAAAGATTTAATAGATACTAGCGGACCCGACAGACGTTGTCCTGCATATCCACTTGAATGTATAAACAAAAATTCATTCGAATTGGTTCAGCCGTTTAAGATAAATAACCTTGAAACCGACAGCAGCGCTATCTGCCGAGCTGATTTGTGAATCTAAACCATTCCCAGATCCCCTTGAACACACACAAAAGATTTCATCAAAATCGGTTCAGTCGCTTGAGAGAAGTTACATACACACTCAAAGAAAAATTATATATATAAAGATGTTACTTCAATTACCACCGTTTTGAAATTTAACTCATTGGGATATCGGGATTGGATGTTTCAACTACGATACCTTGTAACATTAACTATCCGAAAACCAATCGATTACCGATCAAGCAATATTTATGTTAGCTCCTACCGTATTAAATGGTGTTAGTGATAAACGAATAATAATATTGTTTCTACACAATATCTTACCCCATCAGCAAAGTCTCAAGGAAAGCCAGTCCTGTGCGACTGGCACCAACAACCACGATGCTGCTGTTGACGTATACTTTAGGCAAACTTGTCAATGGACGCTCCAATACCCATAACGCGAATGGATTACCCCTATCACACAAAAAAACTTGTAGTAAGTATATTAAAACAGGTACTCAACTATGTATGTTCTGGTTATACGTGAAATAAAAAAATAAAAATATCTTACAAATCTTTGTAAATTTTTTCCAACTCTTTATTACCACTTATGTTTGGAACTGACTGGCGGGGATGTACTGGATTCATATGTCCAGCCAGTGACATTAAATTACGACCAGGACTCTATGAAACAATCGACAAAAACAAAAAAAGTAATATAGAAACATAATATGAAAATCTTGAGTAAATTTTGAAACATAAATCGGCAGTGTTGTTGGTAAATAAATGTTCATTTAAAAAGCTATCGTTTTGCCGTTAAAAATAGTATTAAACCTGTAAACTTTCAGAAAAAAGTTCGTTAAAAATAGAGGTATGTACCGCATCTCCTTTGGAAAATAATCTGCAAATCCAGAACAGTGTTGAATACGTAGAATATCGTAGTAACTCTCTCATAAACCATCGGGCATGTGGCTCAAATACTGGTGACATGACACCAGCTAAAATCTGAAAAATAAATCTTAAACATGTAGAGGCAAAGTATAATTTAAATGAACACTAATCAGAGTTTATATTAAAATTCTATTTTAACATCACATCCATTCAATTCTAACCGCTCCATCAGTGCCCGGCCTGCGTGGCTCCGGTTCTAAGTCGTACTGAGTTCGTATAGCTGTTCCGTTTTCTAAGGGCTAAATAAAAGAAAAAGAAATTAAGCCCATAGGTATACAAACATCAATAACTTGCCAAATTATACCGGGAGATATTCTTCAAGGAACGTAACTAAATACCATTGGCATGGGAACTTCTATAATTGATGATATACTACTATTGATATACTGACGTTATAATGAAATTTTGGTGACTTCAATCTCACGAAACCTTTTAATAAAGAGGCAATTCAATATGGTCATTATAGAAAGAATTATCGAATGCTTTAACATACTCACCCAAGAACAACGACGCCCATAGGTTGGTTCTGACTGAGCAAAGTAAAGGCTTGCAGAACATGAGACGAGAGAGTGGATTTAAACAGATCAATGAGATTATCCTTACGCGGTGCATACTCTAATATAGTCTTTAGGGCTTTTAAGTCATTTGCCTCACCAGGGCGTACGGATATTTTGCTGAAATTACAAAAAAAAAGATCCAACTAAACAAAGTTAATAAGATCTTCTTAGTTCATTGAACGCAATAAGAATTATATATGTGTGTGATTTTTTAATACGTATAGGGATTAAAGAAATTTGAAACCATTTAAAAAAATAATAATAACAGATATTTACCCTCTAACCGAATTAACGTGTGCCACATACAGAGATTCGTTGATATACCTCATTTTGTAGCCGTAAGGCGTCACCAACTGCAAAAAAAAGAGACAAATAAACCAATGAAGTACATTCAAAATTAAGTCATCAAATAATTATCCTACGACATATACCATTGATTAAGATATTACACCGCTTACTCGAAACTGATCGAAAACACTCGACTAGTTTCAAGTCACACTGGGGTTCGCACATATTTTAATAAATAAACTGTCAAAAAAACATCTTTGTTCCTTACCGTAAAGTGTTCCAGCAGAGGAAATGAACCTTGGTTCGTAGGAATACTCATGATACAATAATCTCTGTTGGGAAACATCTCAAATGCTGCTTCTAGCATATCAAAGCTGTATCTGTAATAGTAATGTTATCAAATATTTATCATAACTTAATACATATTTATACGAACTTATCCATCTTATCATCATTTAACATCAGTCAATTTCCAAAAATTACTGAACCTAGGGCGGTCCAGTAACCAACTAGTAATATATTGGCGTTTTTTTATGTTAGTTTTCAAATAACAGTCGCCGCGTCGCGGGTCGCGGAATGCTACTCATGAATATCACCATCTAGCATGGCTTGAAACTAGTCAAGTTCCTCGTCAAACAGTTACGTGAGTAAGTCGAAAACATAATAATTAACTTTAATTTAATTTTGACGTCGAAGGATGAAAGTTAAGGTCGCAGGGAGCCGCTGGATACAGGTCGTTTACTATCGGCCTAATTGGAAGTCTTTGGGGGAGACCTGCCTATATCCAAGAATGGACCTTCTGATGATTATTATTATTTTGAACCGACTTTAAAAGAAAAAAAAAAGTATGTATATTCGTTTGTGCGTGATTACCTCATGACTGACTGAACGGAATTTGATGCAGTTTTCATAAAAGTGTTTGTTACTTATCTAGTTACACTTAGAAAATGGTTTTAGTACATCAATTAACCAACTTCAATAAAAGAGGGGCTTAAAGTCGATTTTTTTAAAGTCATCATTAACAGCCTATAAGTGCCCACTGCTGAGCAAAGCCTCTTCTCACACGGAGAAGGTTTGAGCGTTATTCTTTATTAGAAATTATAAGCCCAGGCTCACGATGTTTTCCTTTACCGGTAGTGGCTGTACTTAAGTGGTGTCTAAATCTTAGAAAGTACATAAACTCGGAAAAAGTAACATTGGTACTTGCCGTTGGTAGGTTTCGAACCCGCATTCAAAAGTGTCATTCTGGCCTAATTGAAATAAATGATTTTGACTTTGACTCTGACCTCCGGGCCACCACGACCCCAAAAGTAGTTAGTTTATAAATTAATTATTTGTATGAAAATTTTAACGAGTTTATTTTGGGCCATTGCCCCACCCTGACACCATGGCAGGTTGGTTACACCCATAGTGATGATTATTGTTACTTTAATTTGTGCAACAAATTTTTCGTATCACAAAAGTTATGCCAAGATTTATTTACCGTCTAAACCGATGGACTGTCTTGTATGTGGAAAAGTCCACTGCCACCGTGAGTGATGTTCACACAGCAATGCAGTAAGCAGCAGCAGTAAGTAATTTCATATTAATGTGCATAACAACGCGTTCGTACGCATAAACACTCGCACGCGCACGCACTCGGATACAAATATGCGTGTGCATGTGTGTATAAGCGCTGCAGTGCAACCGATAGTAGTCTTACGGTGGCAGTGGACTTTTGACTTTTGACCGTACACACGGCCACACATCAATCTATACAAAACCAGTTTATCCTGGTGTTGCGTCGCATCATCATTCCGCACATTTAACGTTCAGTTTATACTGGTTATGTAAAGCTCGATGTGTAGCCGTGTGTACAATTGATTTTACCTTTCATCGTAGGCAGGATGCATAGCATACAATTCCAGTAAGAACGCATTTGGTGCACCTTGATACCGCGTGGGTTCCACTTTGAAATTTGTTATTCCACTTGAGGACACTGAAAATATGTTTAATAATGGGTTAAAAACATAAAATTACATCACGCCTTTTATCCCCGAAGGGGTAGGCGGAGGTGCACATTACGGCACTTAATGCCACTGTACAATGTAACACCCAGTTTTCACTATTTATGTTATGAACCCCATGTAATCGGGGGTGAACCTATTGCCATACCGGGCACTATTACAGACTCCGTGCTACAACTGAGATTTTTTTTAAAAAACCTAGTAATATTTTGCTCGACCCGGGCATCAAATCCGAGAGCCCTTGCCTGGCACTCGCACTCGGCCAGCGCGACAACGATATTTTTTATTTAATTAAGCGGTGACTTTTTTACACTTTCTTAATGTATATTATTTTATAGAAATAATCGATAAAGATAGAAATTATATATAACTACGAATAACTTCTATCCCTCGCAACTTCCTAGAGACTGAGCTATATGCAGTGTAATGTAAAGTAGTCAAAATATGCACCAAGGAAACCGAAATATGTTGTAAGTACACACTAAGTTTAAGTAATATGCACCTGGAATATGTTCAATAAAGTTTCTTCAAAATATACACCTACCTATTATTATAAGCAACCTTTTGATGTCCACTTGTGGAAATTGGCCTCTTCTTTAAATGTCCTATTTCTTAACCTCAGAGTTTTCGCATAATTATAATTTATAGCAACGATGGTGCTACGGTGTAGATCACTCTTTGCTACGACGTAGCCGATTCACAATTTTGGCGTAGCGACGTAACACTACGCATAGCGTTGATCGCTATATATCACTATGAATGAATCTATATTTATTTCTATTTTTATCTTTTTAATTTTGTATTTTATTTTTATGGGCTACGCCCAAATAGGTAACATTAATATTCATGAACTTGATACTTACTGCTCCTTTTTGTTGATCGATCTGTCTTTTTCTCCGGACCAGACTCTTTACCTCCGTTTATGAGTTTCATAATACTTTCAGAAGGTCTAGAACAATATAATTACTACTACATTACAGCATGGTCATGACATCTACAACTTCACTCAAACTGCACGTGGATTGGTGGACTTATAAAATACTAGCTTTTACCCGCGGCTCCGCTCGCGTTACAAAAGGATAAAAAGTAGCCTATGTGACATATACATACAGCGCCATCTATACCAATACTTTTGTTTTCCCTCGGGAATATCAAATTTTTCCGGGATAAAAAGTACCCTATTATTTAATCCGGACTTCTAACGTTACGTCTGCAAAATTTCAAAGCAATCGGTTTAGTAGTTACGGCGTGTAAGCGGAACAAACAAACAAAGAAACCCACTTTCTAATTTATAATATTAGTAAGGATATTACTAGGTACTATTACAATATTATATCACCATAAGTATAATTAAAAAATAGTGTGATATTGGATCTTGAAGACGGTTAACGACTTGTTTTTATTACAGTAAGCCTTCGTACTCACCCTCCCCCGAAAGCGTCATATCGTACAAACTCGGGAACTCTCAACAAGTCTGTGTGAATGTTGACTATATCGAACTCAAATTCTTCCTCATCATCATCAAATAGGTCCAGTATGTGTAGCTGCTGGATCGGCAACTCTTGAGCCATCGAGGGTACTGACTAAATTGAGGTAAGATATTATTATAGGTAAGAAAATACTCTTTTTTATTATTATTCTTTGAATAATGGATTTTTTTTAAGGGGGGGAAATCATCCAATGACTGCTCCCGCCTGGGTGAGGAGGGAGGGAGTGACAGACTCTTACTGACTAAAAACCACCCCGTTCCTTCTCCTGCACGTCGAGCCGGAGCCCCGGTTACCCGTTAGGTTCTCCGCGACTTGAATAATGGATAGAGAGGTATTAAGTGTTACTACCGAGTAAAAGTAGCTATATATCACTCCGTATATTAAATAAGATCTGGATAATTATGCGTTAATGTCATTTTTTTTATTTGATTTGAGAAATGAAAACCTGATCATCGATCTCAGTGACGGTAAGGATCTATGTTCAAACGGGCCCAAAAGGTGGTAAATTAATGATTTCAACTGATCAATAATTTGGTTGTACTGCTTTGTATATAAATAATTTACCTCCTCCTTGGATTCTGCCGTTTTGTTCACTCTTGTAGTACTTCGAAATGGATTAAATTCGTCGTCTTCGAATACCCATGTCACCTATTTTTTAAAGAAATTAATGATTTTATTTCTATAAATTCATAACACATTCTCCAAAATTTTCTTACCCTTGATTTGTCTTTACCATCTTTTGTCTTTAATGCAGAATCTGTATAATGTGGCAACAGGCTATGAAGAGAAATTGTAACCTTATTATTTGAAAAACAGGAACTTACCTAATTAATAATAATCATAAAAAAAACATATTGTTAAGAATTTATCGACATAATAATATGTACTTGCTTGGGAGCAAAAAATTGAATCCCTAGAGTTTTTTTTTCATTTTATCGAACACAGTTAAAGAATGTATGAAAAAAAAATTTTTTACAACAAGATGCTCTCAATTTTTAAACAATCGACCTTTCAAAGGTAAGTAATGTCGAAATATTCAAACCAAAACGCTACTCAAAGGAATCGCAACGAGATCGCGTTCGGCGCTCTGATTGGTTGGTTCACTGGAGCCGGCCAATCAGAGCGCCGAACGCGAAGTCGCGCTTAAGTATAGTTCTGTCACTACAACTACAATTTCTTTGTAAAATGACAAAGATAGCACGATATTTAAGTAGGTACATCTTAAAATTTAGCTTTTCAGTATTCGGGCGTCAAAAAATTGCCTTTTATACGACATTTACCATTTTAATAAAATACTCATATTATAAAAGATTTATCAAGAAATGAAAAAGAAAACACGCTGTGGGTTCGTTTCTTTGCTCTCAAGTCTATTTCATAGTACTTTCATTGAGAACAACCTGTACTCTGATTAAATTACTACGTAAGTATAATAAACAAGTACAGACCTGCAAGCGGACTCGACCTCTATAGGTACCTTGAATTCCTCGCCTGTCGCCAATTGCCTGAGACCTCCGAACGGCGATAGCACAAAATTCTCCTCCAAGGATTCATAATTAATTTGTGTATTAAG